ATTTGAACAGAGAAACCAATACTCCGACATGATACTCCAAAAGAGGAAGCCTAACAATTCGTATAATTCGAACACAAATATTCGAGATTAAGGTCCCAAGTTAAAATTCACAATTGAAAATTAAAATTTGCAATTAAAACTTGAATTGCTTCAGCAAATTTCAAAAATAAATTGAAAATTCACGCCTAATTCAAAGAGGCTCTAGCTTGTAGCCGTTAGCTGCTTCAAAAATTCAATCTTAAAATTGGGGGCTGTGTTTTAACGTTTGAATTAGCAAATATAAGACCCAGGATGAATTGAATTACAAGGTAACTTGATTGGATTGGCAATAATTTTGCACATCTCAGTTGAGTTAGAAGAGGGTTGAAAAAAAAACAAATATAAAATCATATTGAAACAGTAATATTGTCGTTCGCAATTCGTGAAAACCACTTAACTTGAATATTTTCATACCGATAAAATAATGAATATTATACGAAAGAGATAATTGCTGTTTCAACCGTCAGACATTGTATAATATCCTAAGGACTTTCCAGTCGAGATTGAGAGTGGTTCTTTGCTTTAAAAAAAGAATAAGGGCGATTCCTTTACGTCTATACAAAGATCTTGTGTTACAACGATATTGTGGATAAGTGGACTTTTTTCTGTCCCTTTCTTCCTATATACCACATCATACATTTGTGTTCGCTTTTATTTTCGAAAGTAGACGCAGTCAACGTCTAAAATTATTTCTTTTTTTGTCATTAGATATCCGTCGATCGATAAATTTAATAGCTACAGAAAATGCCGGTTTAGAGGGGCGAAAAGAATTGTCGTGTGTTCAGAAGGGGTAAGTAAATGACTAGATAACATAAAAAATATTGTATTCTAGGTATTGGCAGCTGGAGAAGCGGAGAAAGGCAATTTTAAGGGGTGAAAAAAGTTCAGAAGGGGACCATCTCGATGGATACCCTCCAACCTGATTACCTTTGTTACAAAATAGAGCACGTGGGCATTAGAGCTCCAATGCTGGAACGCCTACGATCGTATTTATCCGGAAAAAAAATCGAACACTGGCAAAAATTTTACTGTAACAATTAATTTTTTTACCCACGGCTAGCTCAATAATAAAAAATGTTATAGGTACCTACACCTAAAGTCACTAGATATAGAAAGTACCGCAATGATCATCCGCCATTTTTGGGCAAATTTGCTGCCAACTTAAAACAATTGACACATAAAATCTGAATAGCTGTCATTTTTTATAACCTAACTTCATAGTACTGTCATGTTTTATAAAAATATATATAGATATCTCCAAACAGGTGGAACGATCCCTAACATTAAAGTAACTAGAATCTGGTAACTTCCGCCATTTTTGGGCAAAAATCATGCGTTCTCTCTCTAACACACGAGCCCAATGGATTGCGGTACTTTCTATATTTAGTGACTTTAGGTACACCGTACCTTGCAAAAGTTCCTTCTATCTCCTCTTAAAATCTAAAAATCAGAACCTGGTACTCTGGTTTGATTGCACTCGAATGAATACGCATGTGAATTGAATTAATAAAAATAGAGGCGATCGCCACGTCTTTGAGAAACCATCATCATTTTTCATATTTTTATATGGTCCGGAAAAAAGTACATACTGTATTGAGTAGCATTGTTTATTACGGATACAACGATGTATACCACAATAATAATCGAAATTGAAAGCGCTTCAAGGACCAATCCTTAAAATTGACTAAAGGCCATATTTTATGAAAACAATGAGAAGCATTATGGTTTTTAATTAAAGTTGGACACATTCAGTTACTGAGTATAGTTGACCATCGCCCCTCATATTATCAAATGAAATTTTTTAGCATTATCGTAGGGTAGATATAACGTATAGGTAACAAATTTAAGACCAATAATAATATTGTCACATTTACAGTTTTTCGGTGGTCTTAAAATGAAGAGTTTATGTGAAAAGTTTTGCGTTTGAATAGGTGGAAAAACAAGTGTCCAGCTGCGTTCAGGAACGGAAAACAAGAATTTTAAAGCTGTTCATGATTTTCCTTTAAACTTTTGTATATAAACCTGTTTGGTTATGCTGCGCACTTTTCCTTTCGGCATACCTAACTAACTTCGTTTGATTTAAAACTTATCACTTATGGAGATCATAAATTTTCCCAAGAAAAAACGATCAGGGCGGAGGCCGCATCGATCGTATGTGAGCTTCGGAATGTGGAACTATTTAAAAACTTTTATGATTGTAAATGGTTGTGTTCGGGACGTGCTCTTCAAGTTTAACCCTTAAAAGTTTTATAAGATTTTAGAATAAGGTTTTACATCACTTTTCAATATTTTCCTGTGTACGCTGGCTTTGTATGGCACCTGCTGTTTGCGGAACTTTTGATTAAACTAAAACTGTGTATATTGGAGCTGTGCAATAATTCAAAAGTAAAATTTGAATGTAATTAGTATTTAGTGCGACGATACTCACATAAAATAAAAACGGGTGAAGATAGGTATACTAGCTCTTAATAAACATGTACCTATAAGATACGCTCAAAGTGGTGTTAGGGCAGAGGATCTATGCGAATTTCACCCCAAAAACGAAATCATCAACTAGGGAGAATTGATAGATAACGTCAAAGTGACGATAGCATAGATCAGAAGGGTGCAAAATATTCAAAATGGTGGCGTTAGGGAGAAGTACTCACGAGCCAGATTTGGGAGAGGATGGGCGGCCTGACAGTAACTTTAATAAAATTAAATATAATCAATTAAATCAACTCAAAAGAGCATACATGAGCTTTCAAATTTTACTCAAAAAAAAAGTGGAAGTGGTAGAGAACTCCCCATCTTTGAATAGGTATAAATAATCAAAGCTCCCCATAATATTGAGAGGGTGACTTCTGTCATTGTTTAAATAAAGTATTTAATCAATGCTGCTGTATAGTCACAGGTATTTGTTCTTTGCGTGTAGATCTTCGTTTGCGTAGGTATATCTGTGGTAGTGTAAAATAGTAGCGACATCTTCCCTCCGAGAACATGAATCGGGATATAGAACTGGCGACAAGGACACTGCATAAATTACAGGGCACTACACCTATTTTAATATTATCTTTGTTAATAATGAAGATAAAGGAAACTGTATTTATACTAAAGGTAAAAAGAACGAGGTAATTGAAACTGCAATGGCAAAATACTAGATAGCAGTTTGATACATAGTTTTGTGCATAGTCGTCTCTTCTTAGGTAAATGTAATGGGGTTGTAAAACGGACCTCTTAAAAAAAGGTCCGTGGGTTGTACAATAACCATTATTTTTTTAAATCTATGATTGACATATGATTTAGGCACACCAACCCTTAAATTATTCCAATAAAATACTAATATTTTTCAACTATTTCCAAATAATTCTCAAAATTAGTCGTTCTCTTAATTAAAAAAAATAGGTAAATGGAGTCAAATTATGAAATGTGACATATTAATTTAGACGTTAGAATCCAAAACTATATATTGGAAGAGGGATCGAAAACACTTTAACTCAGTGACTGCATGAAATGATTCTTTCTAAAGATTTCGGGGGCCGTTGATGATTTGAACTCGAGCTACAATGCCGGAAAGAGATACAGTTTTTGTTTACATCTAGAAAGCTCTGAAGAGGCCAAGCGCTCGAAAGATAATTGGGCTCTGAAAACGCACTGGTACGTTTACATGGCTTTCCAGAGCCAACTAAAAAGTACCTCTGCGTCACAGGGTGCCATGGTAATTATGTACAGTTTGTTGCTTCTTCTAGTTACTTAAATAGACAAAGACAGATAAGTAATTAGCACGTTCCTGGTACTAAACCGGAATTGATCCTCTCGCGTGGTTCCCTCAGGATTTGTCGATGAGGTCGGCAGGAGCTGGTAATGAAAAACGCACTGCTCGTAGTCCAAATTCTTTAATTCGTCGTAGTTAGGGCTTAGTGTCTCCCGAGGTGTCTCCTTTGGGTTTAGATTTAATTCTATATTATTAAAAAGCCGATATTAGAAGATGGAGGACAACGCCACGCCAACATTTGCGGCGTTATCATTTTACAGAAATTCCAGCATACACAATTACAAGAAGTTACAATGCTTTAGATAATTAAAGTGCCCTAACTCGAGATGGTTTTTATATATATTTGTCTCGAGATTTGTCTATTACTTTCAAAATTCATAATAGTTCTATCCGTTAGAGAATTTGAAGGGCTAACGCACTACTACGAGGTCTAGACTCCTACCTAAAAAAAGCCGCAATTGTATATCGCATAACAACAGGTTCCAGTATAAAGTTTTTAGGCTACTCACTATCAGACATTGCGACAAGTGCGATTTCGAAATAAAAACATAATTGGTTCAAGTAAAGCTCCCGGCTCAAGTTGGGTGACTTTACGATAATTAAACTTACTTATATTAATTAAAAGTCGAACTCCTTACAGATTCCTTAATTAATTAATTAATGCTCATCCTTTACATACAAAGTTCCTAAACCACAAGGACACCAGATAATGAGAATTTTGACCAAATGTGATATCAACAGATTTGAATTGAAAAGAAATTATGTCAGCAGCGCCATCTGTTGAGGTTAGCGCCCTATCAAAATTGGAAAATGCGGGATTTTTTAAAATTCTTATTAAAATTTGGGTAAAACCTATGGAGTCTAATTTCGTTGGCCTCACGCCTTATTCCCGGACAGGGGCGTTCCGGCGGACGAGGCGTTTAGGCAACCTTACCTACCATTTGCAATCCTGCAGGGATCAACGAGTGCGTCTAGGTCATAACAGCTATGCACTCCTGATGGATGCCATCGACACAGCCACCAAAGAACTCCCTGCCAGAAACAGGGAAAAACACTCTATCTTCCGGATCAGATTAACGCTTGTTAGAAAATGGCAAGTTAAAAGAAACCCTGCAATAAGGCGGTACACGACCTTTCAGTGGCGGAGCTTAAAGGCCAACCGCCTTCAATTTATTATATTAAGGTGGTTATTAAAATAATACCCTCATTATTAATCAAAAAATACTTATTGTAATTACAGTTTAATGCAAAATGTATATAAAAATATGTGCTTTAATACTAGTCCACTTGAAAACCCCACACTTTCAAATTGCCCGCATCACGTTTGCGATCATAAGTGTCTTTATCGTCACACGCGTACGCAAGGAGATGACGAGATGGATGCCAAGCTACTGTAAACGTCGCAGCTTCCACCGTGATATCGGCAATCTTATCACCGCTTTCCACGAACGCTATGTCAATTAATAAATCCTCTGAAGCAGACGCGAGCAGCTGTCCGTCGTGACTGAAGGATATGGTACGTACAGGCCACTCCATTCTGAAACGGAACATTTGAAAAAACCCAGGAGCTGACTTGACAAACCTGGTAAAAACCCGTAAGCAGGCCAATTCGTCGACATCCCACAGCGAGACTAAGGCATCGGCACTGCCGGTCGCGAAGTATTTGCCCGTGGGATCAAACTCTATGCAAATACAAGTGGCAGGGTGCGCTTTTAAAACGTGCTGTACTTCCAAATCGGGATAACTGCAAATAAGAGATAAACGGAGATAAATCACACACATTAAGACTTACCTCAAAATGTGAATGCATCCCTGACCGTTAGTCAAGTAGAAGAACTCGCTTGTGTTGTTCCAGGAGATCTCGTTAACCTCAAAATTGTACTGCTCCTCGCTCTTAATTTTGTGAGTCCTCGCATCAACGAAGGTGACCAAGTCCTCTTTATTACCAACTGCGATTGTCTCGCCGTCCGGCGCCCACGTTATATTTATATTCTCGCCTTTCGTATTGATGGTGGCCACGCATTTTTGCACTCGTATGTCCCAAATTCGAACCGATTTATCGCCGCTCGCCGTACTGAGAAGGTCCGAATGCGTCTTGTGCCAGCAAAGCTGGTCGACCGAGCCTCCGTGTCCCTTAAATGTTGTTTCCTTGTTCTAAAAGTAATCGTTTAATTGTGAGCATTCCAGCTGCTGTTTCGTTTACAAGTAGGTCTTTGTCTAAGGTGTAAATCGAAACTGACTTATCGTAGGAGCCCGAAGCCAGTCGTTTACCATCACAGCTCCAGCCTACCGAGTGAACTTTGGCGGTGTGCCCGGTATATTCCTTAGATTTACTGTGCGATTTAAAATGACTTTGTAACTGCTTTATTTGTTCGGCGTACATTTTCAAGAGAGCATAACCTGCCTCGTATTATTGTAAACAACATTTATTTAGGTTAGGATTGATCACGTAAAGCTGGATTCACATGAATACGAAATCCGACGATACGGTCATCCGGAATGCTTATGATTGGTCAATAATTTGAAATGTGCTTGACATTTCAAATTATTGACCAATCCAAAGCATTTCGGATGACCGTATCGTCGGATTTCGTATTCATGTGAATCCAGCTTAAAGGGTGTATCTAGGCACAGCAGATTTATATTGCGCATTGTTACTTTTAGACATAAACACTAGAAAAGGAGATTACTTTTGTAAGTTTTATCGCATTTTGTTCCCCAGTTGTTACAGACGGGTCGTTTTAGCGGCGCTACTCTGTACATTTCATAGTTGAAATTATGCCCAGTATAGAAAATAACTAGTATAACAAATGTCTGTGGAGAGGGTGACGCTTAGACCATATAGTACATGGACTGCTAATTGTAACTAAAATATGGTCAAGGACATCGCCTGGGTATGTGAATTTCAGGGTAAACGAGTCTGTCCGAAGTTGTCCGATTAGACACGATTTGAGACTGTCAACCTATAAATTAACAAACGTCAATTAATTAATCGCCTAGATATCCCAAAAAAAGCAGACTTATTCTTATTTGAGGACGTATAGTAAATAATGAAGAGTATTTAAAGCTTCCCGTACTACGCGGTTACTATAAAGCTGCTCTTTAAGCGATCCTAGTGGTGTTTACACGACTTTAGTTTACCCTGAGATTCACATACCCACGACTACAGTGCCCTCTATTCGTGACCATCCATTTTGTATTGAAAGCATAGGGCGAATAGCAGTCCATGTACTATATGGTCTAAGGGGTGACGTGACATCCAATATTTCTCTCTGTTCTGTGGTGACATCTAGGATAAAGTCTGACAACAAACAACTATAATTATTATAAATAAATGTGTAACTGATGTTTGTACAAAAATGTTTGAAATAGGAAATTTAATCGGTGCTTTAGACGAGGGCACCTCGAGTGCACGCTTTATTCTCTTCAAAGCTGGCACGAGCGAAGTCGTGGTCTCTCATCAGGAGGAATTGCAAAAAGTGCATCCCCGAGAGGGCTGGGTCGAACAAGATCCCATGGAAATATTGAAAGTGGTGCGCAGTTGCATTGCCGAAACCGTTAAGAAGTTAAAGGCATTGGGGGGCAGCGTCAAAAATATCATCGCTATTGGTATAGCAAATCAACGAGAATCGACCATCGTTTGGGATACTGCATCAGGACTGCCACTGTATAATTCGTTGGTATGGCTCGATATGAGAACGACTTCGACGGTTGATTACTTATTGGAAACTGTGCCTAACAACACAAAGAATAAGGATTACCTTAAGCCATTGTGCGGACTACCCTTATCACCTTACTTTAGCGCACTGAAACTGAGATGGCTGCACGACAACGTTCCAAGCATCAAAAAAGCGATGCAGGAACACACCTGTCTATTCGGTACTGTCGATTCGTGGATCATCTGGAACTTAACTGCCGGAAAAGTTCATGCGACTGACGTAACCAATGCCTCTCGTACGATGCTCATGAATCTAGACACCTTAGATTGGGATCCAGTTTTGTTAAACTTTTTCGGTTTGCCTCGCCATATTTTACCGACCATTAAGTCCTGCTCCGAAGTTTTCGGTTATATTGCGGACGGTCCTTTGGACGAAGTACCTATTGCTGGATGTTTAGGCGATCAACAGGCGGCACTAGTCGGGCAGCAGTGTCTTAATTGTGGAGAGGTAAGCAGGAGGAGTGGTAGTGATGTAAGAATCAACTGAAAGCAACCCAGAAAAACATTTCTTTTTTTTTGTTTTTAATTTTTTTATAAAGAATCTGTGGTGCCAGGGTTAGGCAGTAACAAAGCTACATGGGGGTGGTAGCGGCTTGCTAACTTCACACCCCCATTCTGACAAGAGAATATCAAACAGTTGTAAACCAAACTGATTTGATATTATTTCTAAAAGTGTCAGGTTTTTTGGTTTAAAAAAAGATATTTATTCAAATATCCTTATGATGTGAATCCGAGGTGAGCTCTTGAGAGCCATTTGTTGCTTTCGAGCTGTGAGGTTTGAAGCTTTGATCTTATCTGATTATATTTAACGCGCAAATATGCTAGACCGTGTTAAGCACCCTTGCTAACCGTATAGTTTTACAGGCCAAATCGACATATGGCACGGGATGCTTTCTGTTGTACAATACGGGAAGCAAACGTGTCAGTAGCGCTCATGGACTTCTAACAACGGTCGCTTACCAAACTGGTCCCAACACGCCGGTCACATATGCCTTGGAGGGCTCAGTAGCGGTCGCGGGAGCCGCTTTGTCCTGGTTGAAGGATGGTATGTCGGTGATTTCAGATGTCAACGATGTTCAGTGTGTAGCTGAACAGGCCGATTCCACAGGTGAAGGGAATCTATACTTTGTGCCCGCTTTTAGTGGTTTATACGCACCATATTGGCAGAAGGATGCACGGGGGTAGGTAATTACGGAAGTTTAAAAGACCGTACAATTATTTTTTATTAATTTGCACTTTGCAGATGTAACTGTAAGTCTAGGTATTTATTTAGGAATCAAAACAATTGGTGAAATGAAATTTTTTTGCAAAATTCAAGGAGCAATAGTTTAACTCATTTTCTCTACTTTTTGGGGTGGTTTTTGATTCTTGTAAGATATTTTTGTACTTTTGAAAAAACATAGTAAGGATTGTAAATTAATTTAAAAAAAATAACTTGCAGCGTAATCGTCGGAATAACGGAAGACACACAAAGCAGTCACATTGTGAAGGCCACCTTGGAGGCGGTTTGTTTTCAAACTCGCGACATACTAGAGGCAATGAATAAGGATTACGGGACAAGTTTAAGGAAGCTGCGTGTCGACGGCGGAATGACTTCGAATACATATTTGATGCAGTTGCAGGCGGATTTAACCGGGATATGCGTCGTTAAGCCAGTTATGGCGGAAAGTACGGCATTAGGAGCCGCAATGATGGCCGGTGCTGCTATTGGCGTATGGGATTTTAAACAGAACCTTGACATGCCAGTGGAAGAGTGGAAGCCGATTATCGGCGATGACAAACGTGACCTTAAGTATAGCCAGTGGAAGATGGCGGTCGAACGAGCAATGGGATGGGACGTCTGATGATTTATAAAATAAAGTTTACGCTAGAAACTTGTGTGTAATTTCAATGAGTCAGACAGGTGTGCCTAATCCAAACACTGATAAGCTATCTCATGATAACGGCTACACTAATTCAGTAAGTTTCAAGATGGCGCAGTTTAAGGGTGTTTTCTACTTGGCGGTAATTTTTGGTAGGTTACCAATTGGAAGAGTAACATTTGTGACACGTTTTGTTGCAGTTGTAATAGCATGTTTGATGCAAGAGGTTGATGGACGAAGAAAAATTTTAAGAGGGCGGAAAACCATCACGAGAAGATATTACAGTAGGAAGTTCTCGTTAGCGTAATTGTGTTAATGGTTTTAAATTTCAGAATCGGCAGCTATACCTGCCTGGGCAATTATTCTTCTGGTTAGTGTTGGGGAATTGGTGCTCGGTGCTGCGTTGTTCTTTGTTATGAAGAAGTTCATTATTGATCCGCCGTTAAGTGGCACTTACTCGCCAACAAATATTTCGCCTTAATGTTATCAATACCTATTTTTATACTAAGTAAATCAGAGATAAAGTTACATACCGCCCTATATTATTGTTAAATGCAAACTCTTTTTTGTTTGTTCAGATTGTGTTAGCCATAATCTAGATTTTATAACACTTATGTTTGAAATGTACATTTTTCTATTTACTTGTAGCTATATTAATATTATTTATGCCTTTAAAAATGATCTAGGACGAGATCTTTTGGTTTATGCATAACTATTTATCATTTTTTATGTAATATTCTCATTCTTTTATTTGCCTTTTGATTAAAAATAGTAATATGTAGTAAATTTCGCGCTTATTTTAATGTTGCCGTTCTAACAGCTAACATTTTTGCTAAGATGTATGTGGGTTTTTTGTTTTACTGATATCGCGAAACTACATTAAGTGTTTTTGATCGTCAAGAAACCTAATGGCACATGCAATAGCAATAATCGGCGCTAATCCATTTTTGCAACATTCATTTTACCGTCTATTTCAAGGTATAGGAACTTTGAGAAGGACCTAGTAAATGGTCTTAAAAGCTCAATCAGGCCATAAAAAAATGTGGTATAAAGCTCTGGAAAAGTACTATAGAGAATTAGAAAATAAATAATAAGGATTTCCAGAACTAAGAGTGACAGTCAAACAATCCATGGGTGCTTTTATAATTTTATACACTCTCCACAGCTAGGTGGGGCATGACATTTCCAGTTTTGGGACCCATCTCTTAACTAAGTTCACACATTTTTGAAATGAATAACTGAATGAAATATCAATTCTTATTTTTATTATACAGTGACGAATCTCCCATTAGGATTCATTCCAGATTCGCTCGCGACCCACTGGTGAATCTCGTAGGTCAGGACCCATACTTTGGTGGCCTAGAGTACTCCGGTACGATCCAAAAAGCCCTAGAATCCCTGAAAAATCTGATTGTAATGGAAGGTATATGTAGTTTGTGCACTATACATACCTCTATAAGTAGCATAATATTTCTCATTGCTGCCAACTCGCCACGTTATAATAAATATTGCAAATTATTTGTGGACACATATAGTTGCCCATTTCTGTATATATTTTAATGCCTCATTGTCGGCGTTAACTTCATGGAAATTGAATATCTATGGTTAACTTCAGCTATATTAGGTTAATACCGATCATTGATCAAATTTTATAATTACACTCACAAAAGCAGCACTACCCTCGAAAACAACACGTAATGTCAGATTGGGATACAGTCACCGTCTTGAGGAAAAAGGCCCCAAAAGCATCCACCCTAAAAAGCGAACAGGCAGTAAATGCAGCACGGCGCCAGGGTGTTCAAGTCGAAACGCAGCAGAAATGTAAGGATTCTAAAGCGACCCGCATCTCTTAACACACCTGTAAAATTTCAGGGGGTGCCGGAAGCAATAAACAACACGTAGCGGCGAAGAACACCGCCAAGTTGGACAGGGAGACGGAGGAACTTCGTCACGATGCGATACCACTCGAGGTTGGCAAATTGATACAGCAAGGTCGACAGGCGAAGAATTTCAGTCAGAAGGAGCTCGCGACGAAGATCAACGAAAAGCCGCAAGTAATAACTGACTATGAAGCGGGCCGCGGGATTCCCAATAACGTAATACTCGGAAAGATCGAACGTGCGATAGGGATAAAGTTAAGAGGAAAAGATATGGGCCAACCCATGGCGCCCCCTGGGCAAAAGAAATAGGCGCACGGGGGGCAAAGATTCACATCTATTTACGTAATGTTAAGAGTTTTACAGAAACCGTTTCAGTACGCATTGTTTTTGTTTTGAATAGCCATTTCGTGTCTGTTATATCTATATATCTGTACTTGTTTTGTCTTAATATAGCTTTCGTACTGGATTGTGATTTATAACCAACGGACCCGGCAAACTTCATACTGCCTTTCTGTCAATGTTCTGCGTCCTGATGAAACACAAGCTCGGTTCCTCCTCACCTTGCCCAAATGTACTGTTCCCGGATGAGACATAGTCTCGATTTCGGCGGCTGCGCCGCCTCAACTCGCTCAAGTATTGCCCAAGTCTTGCGCAATTTTACTAAATCAGAAATGTTCGTGGAACCATTCCCCAAAGTTTCATCGCAATCGGATGAACCGTTAAGCTAAGTGCACATACTTGACTCTTAAATCTTAATATGGTAACTAAATTCTCTTATATTTTAATGCAAATTCGTGAAAATTTTTCCCTACACTTCCAGTATTTTGCTGCACGATAATTATATTCTTTTCATATAAATTAAATATAGCGCTTCCAAGACCCTTAGGAACAAAATTGAAAGGTATCATCCAGAATTGCATGTTTGATGTTAAATGGGTATTTGCGGGACATTACTTTTGATCCTTCTTGTATATTGGCTGTGTCACAGCTAGGCACCTAACCTTGGCCGTGTTGCCACAAGCGATTACTTGCATGTTAATGTTGGTACGAATTAAATTTGCTAAAGCAAAGCAGCAGAATTCGGAAGGAAGCATTTCTCTTTTCTGGCATTTTCGTCACATTTTTCTAATTTTCAATAGCAGAAGAAAACAAGCAAGGAGATTTCGGCATTTTAATTCTTTGACGGTAAGATTTCCCTCAGTCTGCCAGAGACCCACGCATATCGCCGATTTTTTTAGTGATAGTAATTAATGGCAGACAGTGACGACGAGTACGACAGAAAACGCCGCGATAAATTTCGAGGCGAACGCTCGGAGGCGACGTATCGAAGTGCCGAGAGATCAGTTCGTCCCCGAGACGACTGGCAGGAAAGGTATAATAACTTTGGTTCGATTAGTAGTAATTTGTTTCCTTCGAAGGGATGTCTGGTCGAGACCGAGACCGAGGGAGTATCGAGGTGCGATACGAGATCGAGGGTATTCGCCGAGTCTCGAGCCGCAAGCGAAACGTTTAAGGCACGATTATTATGGCGAAAGCTACTACAATCACTATCAACCATATCATCAGGCCGCTCACAGGTATAGCTCATTATTGCCTGTGGCGTAACTATCATTGAGTAATTTGTGGCCCTGTGGTATAAGTTGTACTGTAAAGGTAAGTTCATAACTCTCCGTCCATACGTTTCCGTTTGTCTGTTAGCCAATCAGAAGACAGCAAATTTTTAAATCGTACGTCGTCCGTTTACGACGGAAAAGTTGGTTGAAGTTGAACATTTACGTTTCCGTTGGTCCGTTTTTAACAAGAGTGAGGTTATGTTTGGTATGTTAACAGCGTTCGCCTGTTCGTTCTTCACGGTAATAATCAGATAGATAGCAATGTGTTCTTACTTTCGTACCATTTTCACATACTGAAAATCATGTAGAGTACAGTACAAAATAAAGTTTAGGTTATGGTTATACTTGCAAATGTACAATGTGGACGGATTGTTATGAACCTTAACAAAACGTACTATCCGTTTGACGGATCAACGCAACGGATGAACGGAGAGCTACGAACCCACCTTAACAATCTCATCGTAAATTGTTTGTATTCGTACACATGCCATTAAAAAAATGAAGGCCTTCTATTGGTCCATTCACATCAATAAACCTATATCATTTGGAGAACTTTCCAAGTATATACTTCTGAAGCATATTGAGGATTTACAATCTATTTCTGCCATCCACGATAATTGATCATATTAAATATTATATTATCAAAGCATGTGCTTGGTATGTTTGTGGGTAAATCTGCCACTGATTATGATTCCTTGAGAGTGTTGGTGTCTAAGAGGCATGTGCAGGCCCGACGATTATGTTGCACGAGGGCTTCCGTGTTAACTCATTTTTAACATTGCATGTCTTTATGTAGATGCGTAGATGTAATTATACTAACCAACTTTCTCACCACTAAAGTACTCGATTGTTTTTTAAAGAGCCGCTAATTTCTTCAGAGAACCACCGCCCGTGGCCGCTTCAGAAACGCAACCGGTTATGATGTCATTTAAAGCATTTCTCGCAGCTCAGGATGATAACATTTCCGATAGCGAGGCGGTGGAAAAATATAACGAGTATAAGCTGGAGTTTCAACGTCAGCAGCTTAATGAGTTCTTTGTTGCTCATAAGGACGACGAATGGTATGTACATCTTACATCGAAATAAGTTTATTTCAGGCTCCCTCCTTTGTATATACTTAACTGTAAAATTCCCCAAAATATTTTGCTTTAAATTAAACTTTTTCTCTACAGCGCCGAGTCATGGCTTCCTGTTATCTTCGTTAAGTATTATTATGTGTTATGTGTGTGAATCTACGTAAACTTGTGAATACAATTAAATGATATACTTACATGAAATGAACGTAAAGGATTAGATTTTATCGTTTTTAAAAGCTATGCGCGCAATGCATATGCTTTCGCGTACTTTGTTAGGGTTTTATATCACAGGTGAGATTCACGTTTAACCACGTATGTTATATTTAAAGTCATTGTTTTTATGGTATGTCTGGTGAATAGTTGAAAGTGTCAGTTTAAACTATTGCATAAGTCGCACGTCGCTCTTGTGCAATTGTTTAAGTGTACAGTATGAGGTGATGGGTTTGAGTTTTGGAAAATTAATATAAATTTGGCGGTTTTTATTCAGTTTTGATCAAAGGTCTTTTTCTACATGTATGCATCTCTTAAAGAGACAATTATTAATGTTTTTTTAAAACTAAATTGTCAACTAGCAGATCAGTTCTGGTCTCTTGTGTTTTCAAGTAGTAGGTCATGAGACCAAAATAGATGTGAATTTGTTTGCATCAATAAATTGTTTTCATGGCCTACTACTTGAAGGGAAAATTAAAACAAAAATTACCTTCATTAACTATGATTTACAAAAATAATAGTCTCGATTTAGAGTGAGTAATCCAATACCGGCCGTGTCTCTATACATCTTGAAAAGGACTCTATTTAGATCACCTGTTAATAGGGACCATTACAGAACAATTGAGAAATTTATATTAATTTCAAAAAATAAGATGGCTTTAAATAATTTATTTCTACTTGCAAAGAAACTTACACATTGCGTGAGTTTTCTGCACATGGGTTGCTTCTCGTATACCACTATTTCCAATTTACATTTCGTATTTTGACTCTTGTAGGTTCCGATTGAAGTACCATCCTGAGGATTCTGTTAGGCGAAAGGACGAGCAGATGAACTCTTTAAAGGTAATCTTCTCCTGGGGGCGGATGTGGGTATGGGTTTCTTGCGCTGCAGCCGTCAATCCGTTTACCAATTTTCTTATAGAATACCAGGGTTGGCAAAATGAAAAACCCATTTAAAAAACCCACAGGGTTTTTGTGTCAAAAACCCACCCAACGACCTATACAAAAACCCATACAAAAGCCCAAAGAATTTTTATTATTTTTACAAGCTTTTCTACGTTATTGGGCAGTAACTTATTCCGAAGATTGGTCCACAGTTCCGGAAATTCGACAAATACCCAAAAATTACCCAAATACCCAAAACCCCACCCAAAGCATACAAAAACCCAGATTTTTGCCAACCCTGTAGAATACGGTTTTTCTGACAAAATGTCTGTTGCTCTAGAAGTCCCCAAAACAAAGTGTCCGCCCCGACCGTCTTCTCATATTCAAATCATTATGTCACTCTAACTTGGACTCTTTAGAAACGTCTAGAAGTCTATATGGATCTTCTAAATAACAAAAAGATCAGTGCTGTTTCCGTGGATAGTTCACAAACCAACGATTTGCTAAAACTCATGGATACTGTCGTTATTAAATTGGAAGGCGGGGGAGAGGAGGACGTGGAAGCGCTAGAACAGGAGTATATGGGTAAGCGGTGGATTTTTAGTGGTAAATCAGGGTTGGGATGTGATTTTTTACAAAAAGAATAAATGACCACATCACCTGCGTTTTGCGCGTTACAGAAATGGAAAAGAAGGAACAGAAGCCTGTTGAGGAAGTCGCAGAGAAGAAGAACGAGGAAGAGAATGCTGAACAGGTTTCAAAAGAAGAAGGCGAGATAGAACAAGGGGAAGCCAAAGACGCCACTAAAACAAATGGCGAAGCTGAAATTGAGACAACCAAGGGCAAAGAAGAGGGTGAGCACGATTACGAGGACGGAGAGGAGCAACCCAAGGAGGAAACCGTCAATAAATCACCAGAGAAAATGGAAACGGATGAGGTACCAGAAGAGGACAAGAAGAGCGACGAGGAGGTGAAGGAAGACAGTCCCGCTCCGGAAAATAAGTCGGATGAAACTAAGCCCGGCAAACCGAAAGAGAAAGAAAGAAAACGGAAACGCTCCTACTCCGGGAGTAGCAGTAGTTCGTCCAGTGAAAGTCAGGACAGCGACGAAGAGAAAGATGACGATGAACCGCCCAAGGTTCTTGTTAAAAAGGAGAAAGATAACGGAGAGGATAAAGAGGTGAAGGAGGAGAAAGTTGAAATGGTGGAGGACGACGTTAAGCCGGAAAAGCCGAAACTTCTGCACAAAACTACGTCGATTTTCTTGAGAAATTTAGCACCTACGATCACTCGGCAAGAAGTTGAGGCAATGTGTTCGAGGTACGATGTTTCTTTCTGCGTTTAGCATCGACCAATGATATGTTTTAGGTACGATGGCTTTTTAAGAGTTGCCTTAGCGGATCCACAACCGGAACGGCGTTGGATGAGGCGGGGCTGGGTGACTTTCAAACGCGACGCTAACATCAAAGAGATTTGTTGGAACTTCAATAACATACGTTTGCGGGATTGCGAACTCGGTGCGATCGTCAATAGGGATCTTAGTCGACGGATTCGATTGGTGAATGGCGTTACCGCTCATAAACAGGTGGTACGGTCTGATATACGAATCTCGGCAAAGGTTGTCCTGCATCTCGATAACAAGGCCGGTCTGTGGTGTGATGATGACGATAAAAACGAAAAACCACAACAGGTAGGGGCAACAATTCACTATCATAAAATTGTTTTTATTTAAATAATCAATAACGATTTTCTCTTGTTTTAGTTTCTTGTAAAAAGCTTTTTAGAATGATTTTTGCTCAAACTAAATTAGGTAGCAAAAATTGACTCAACCAAATGACTAGCGTATTGTTTAGCTTATAATACAATAACTCGGATTATTAGAAGAATCTCCAATACATGATTACTGAAATACACATAATCAAGCAATTTGCTCTCGGCCCTACCCCTACTCCCTAGTAGTCAAATGCGTTTTCTTCTGAATAAATGATATGCCTCGGGCGATAGTTGTCTATAACAAAATAGTTCATAGTCCATTTTTAAGAGAGTGCCTTGGAAACAGAAGAGGGCTGTGTATGTCTCATTATACTGTTATAAACTCTACATGACTAAGAAAATATGCATAGAATTGTCATTAATTAAAATCAACAATAAATGATCAGCTCTCATTCCTTTTTTATTACACTTTGCTCCATTTTCGGCTGCTTCTAAAAGGTAACGTTATACAGGAGCATTGAAAAGGAATAAATTGACTATTTAAAGTAGGATGGGCATTTAGAGGCAAATATGGTCTTAAAATAATGAGGAGAGTTTTTAGATGGTTGATACCCATCAAGAGTCCTTTACTCAAGGCTCCCCCACGCTGTGCAAAAAGTCAAGAGAGCCTGGAAAAATGTGCTTTGGGTACTCCACGGAGCGCCACAGGGCTCTGAAGAGTACTAAACCCTTTCCACAGCTTTCAAAGTATTTTTCTCAGGGCATTCGAAGATTTTTAAGAGTTTCTTAAGTAATTTTAAGAACTTTCTAAGTCATTTCTCTGGCTAGACGAGCCTTGAGAGCTTTTAAGTGCGCCTAAAAAACTGTGGATGGTGCAGAAAGGCCTCTGATAAGTCTTCGACTAAGAGATCTTAGTAGCTATGTAATTCTCAGAGACTGAGCGTTTTCCAGGACCTCTCGGCCATATCTTAACCCAACAAAATTCATTTTGTACATAGTTTTAATGATAAACGTCACTTTACAGACTTTTGGATTAGTATCCAATAATCCCGTGCTACACAACATCACCGACTACCTCATAGAGGAGGCGAGTGCCGAAGAGGAGGAGCTGTTGGGACTGGAACCTACTTCGGATGCATCGGACGGCTCGGCGATTGTAGATCGCGATGACGTTTTAATATCGGTCCTAGATCGGATAATTTTGTATCTACGCGTGGTGCACTCGGTCGACTACTATAATCACTGCGAGTATCCCAACGAGGATGAGATGCCGAACCGTTGCGGAATCCTCCACGCTCGAGGTCCTCCTCCAACGACAAAGACGGACCTCTCGCAATTTATCGGGGTGCCGATCGAGGCAAAAATGGCCCACTTTTTGCCCGATAAGACCAATCGTGAGGAGAACAAGAACGACGGCAAGCTAGTCAGTTTGGCACTCAAGGATGTCGACATGGAAATCGATAAGTTTGTGCAGGCAAATACGAGGGAACTGGCGAAGGATAAGTGGTTGTGTCCGTTGTCAGGGAAGAAGTTCAAGGGGCCAGATTTCGTGCGTAAACATATCTTCAACAAGCACACGGAAAAAATCGAGGAAGTTAAAAAGGAAGTGGAATTCTTCAATAATTATCTTCGAGATCCGAAACGTCCAATGTTAGAGCTGCAGCAAGCGAAAAAGGAGGAAACTACAGCTTACAGTCATCCTGGGTTAGTAGTTTTTTTGTTCTTTTTTTTTGGCAATTGCACAGCCGATACTCCTTTTCTAGGGGCTATACTGGTTCATATACTGGGTATGGTGGTCCGCCGACAAGGTTTTACAATCAGGGATATTCCAGACCTCGACCCTATGCACCGACACGTTCCAGGTTAGACTATTTAAACTTGTATTCTTCATTTCATTTTTCTTTACTAGGGGAGGAGCCGGTGGTGATTTTCGACCAATTATCCACTACCGTGATTTGGATGCTCCACGTGAACCGGAAGAATTTATATAAACAATTACTATAATGACATTATATTCGTATTGGCGTTCACTTTTTTGTTTATTGTAAGCAATAACAGGTAAAAGTACTTTAAGGTGGCAGATTGGCAACCATTTTATAATATAACAGTTTATTAAGCGATGCTTCAAAATTATGTATTAATTTGTAAAAATTTTGATGTAAAGTTTTGCTGACAAGCAAATAAATTATATACATATTAATTTTTTAAATGCGGCAAAGTAACTAAGAATATTGTTGAGAGGACTTTCTCTTAGACTGAAAATGAGAAGGAAAATCCTTAGAATGCCCTTGAAAGGTGCTGGTAAGCTAGAATATTTGAAGACTTGTAAAGCGTTTCTGGCGTATACCAGGATTTCTATCCCTATATAGAGATTTTTAGGTTTTCCAAAGCTTGTAGCATTGTATTTTCGTTTATAAATACAAAGCTTGTAGGTCTCTCTTAAAGCTATACAGTGTTAGCTCCAAAAGTAGTCTAAACTGGATGTTGGCACTTCACACAACAAAACCAAGTGTAGGTACCTACTCTACGTAAAATAAAATATGTTTATTTAATTAATCAATAAATATGAAACCTGCATGTTTGTCATAATTGTTTTGTTATCAAAAGAAGTGACCAAATATGGATTTTCAAAAAGATCAGATGAATTTTACTTCGTAATAAATTGTTAATTTTCAGGATTACTGTTTATAATTTTTTTTAAAAAAACCTTTGGAAATTAACGTTCCGGGCCAAAAATAATTCGATTCTAAACAAAGTCATTTCTATTCATTTTTCCCCTCGGAACAATAGTTAACCAGATATTCACAGTCAAATGTTTTCTTCGTTTTTTGTGTATAATATGATCCGGGAGTTCTGGCTAGGGAGACTGATTTTATGAGTGAAGTGACATCCATATGTATAGTATTTCTTTGTTATAATAAACCAACAACAACAAAATTCGAAGGACCCTCAATATTACCATCATTTTTTTAACCTTGTGAAATGTACATAGTCAAAAAAAAGCAGCAAATTCATGTCTTGCTCCAGGTCTTTTTTCCAATGATCTTTGTGCAATAATAACGACTTTGACACTTTTTGATCAAAATACCTGTGTGGTACTAGAAAAAGAAGTTTAACATCTTTGAATCACACACACGCGGGTTTTCAAATGTGCATGTGATGTACGCTTTCCGTATCAAGACAATGCGTTTAAAAACCTTTACTACTCCAATTTCACGTGTAATTTTAGGTACATTTTGCTCTAAACCTTGTGATTTAAACCACCGAGAAGTCAATTGTTATACATCTAATTAATAGGGAATAATCTAGCAAATGTCTGAACTCAATACATGACCTACGAAATTAAGTATATTGATTTCTATTATATTCAGCCCACGATAGTAGTTTTTCCTGTTCTCAATTCACTCAAAGTCCTATAACTTTTGGTCCCGTTGAGACAGCTTCTTGAAAATCAATAGCGTCCTACCTTAATGTCCAAAGCGCCGGTACGCGATCGATCACTTTTAAAAAAAGTTAATAGCGCACACGGACGGACGGACAGATATTTAATAAAATTATATACTTTAGAAATTTTTGGGCTATTTCTAAAGCTTGTGAACTCCTCATAAAGCTATAATACACTGATTTGTAGAATATTTGAAGTAGTTTTCAGAGAATTTGCAACGTTCCAGAGCAATCTAAACGCCCGAGAAGTTCTTAGATATGTCTCCTAAAGTTGAAGAACACAATTTCAGATCATTACAGCGCCCTCTTGTATACCGATATTTTTTTTAGTTTACTAAAGCTTGTGTTGCAATTGGGGTGAAGCGAGGCATCAGAAGCCTCTATAACGGACAGGGTTCATCAAGAGAATATAGGATAGTTCAATTAAGTCTTATAAATTTAGGCATAATATAGACGTAGAAGCTCTCTAATCGTTAATCGCAGTTCATTAGTTTGTTATATGTATACCGAATTCCATCAGGAAGAAATCTGAAATTTTATTACAAAGAAATGGTTCCTAAAGTGATCTACGCCACTGGAAATGTTACCCTCGAAAATCGAAGCGCTTGATTGGCGAAAAAAGATAATTATACATCAGTTCTCTCCATCTAGCATATGAAAAGTGTATAAATCCATCGCATTTCAAACGTTATTTTAGTTCATTGTAAACAGCGCCGCTTGCGCCTTATTTGGAACGAAATCCCTTCGTCCATGTTTCTTGTTTGTAGCGAAGCTTCTGCGTCAGCTTAGTATTTTTCCTCATTTTTGCGTTAATTAAGGGTGAGTACTCTCCTTTTTTTATCACCATTTACTTTGTAATCAGTTAGGAAAAGCACCGCATGATGATTTAGCTTGTTTATCTATTACGGTACGCGATATTCGACGTGAAATTTATTGGCGGTAGTGCCGGGTGTCTGAGAATCAAGGTCGACATAAGTTTTTGTGATAATTTCGTTGTTAATAGCGGGTGAATTGCATGTAAGTCGACAGTTTGTGTTGTTTTACGCTTGTTGATAGGAAGACCGGCCGAAAATTGCGAAAATCTGCGGAAAATTTGGTACTTTTCCCTTTCATTTAGGGACGCGTGCTTTCGTCTTGCATTAATGGCCGCCTTGCGTCCTTTTAGTTACCTTCTCCTTTTTTCGCGTTTTCGTCTAAATTCGTGCGAACGAGATTTTCTTTTGTAAAATTTTTCCCATCTTTCAGAAGGTCCGCCGCAATGGAAAAATTCGAGCAAGGTCGCGTTTCCGAGAACGAAGACGATCCCGACGTATACGAAAGTTCCGGCGACGAGTGGAACGAGGAAGTCGAAGAGGTAGGTAAAACTTTTGCACTATTTTATTCTTACACTTTATACAAATGAGTGTAAGTTTAAAATTTTTTTATTAGAAGAAAAGAGGTAACCGACGTAGTTCTCAGCGTTTAAGTAAAAAACCACGCGTTTCGCATGTTGATTTGAGCAGCGAAGAAGATGGCACCGGGAAGAAGAAGAAATCAAAGAACGGAATTAAGCGCCAAAAGATGGATCCCGAGCAGGAGGAAGACGTCGAAGAGGAAGAGGATGACGTCGACGAGGAAGAAGAAGAGGAGGAGGAGGATGATAGTGCCGACAGCGGGCAACCAAACAACAAAACCTCGAAGAAATCTGGCAAGAGCTCCGACTTTGTGGTACGTATCATTTTTTCTTAGTTTACATGAAATTTTTTTGTACATAATAATTATGTTGACCAAAACTGTTTTATCACTTCAGAATGGCGGCTTTTTGATCCTAAAGAAAGATGCACAGAAAGGGGATCCTAGTAAAAAACCATGCCTGTGGAGAATAGACGGAAAAGCACTCCTACAGAAATACGAACCTTTTGATGAGGAAGGGCAAGTGAGACACAGAAATACGTCAATTGTAAGTTGTGTAACATTCTCTTTGAAATGTTGTGATTTTTTTCCTACAGTACACCGGTTGGTCATCTCTCGATAAGGAAATGTATTACCCAGTGACTGTTAAAGTTCTCCAACACCAGGGTCAAAATATGACCGTCGAATTAAACTGGGAGAAATTAAAGGAGCTTCAGCAGGAAAGCGAATAAGTTTATTTTAATTTTTTTTATAATCATCTTATACATATATAAATAGCGATTGTTTTAAAATCTTGGATTGTGTTTCGCAAGGTAATCACTGTAAAGTTACTTTAACTTTAAAGTTGTTCATCTTGTCTACTAGTTAAGATTTTGATAAGAACATCAATTTTTTTCATCAATTTTACATTTCCAGGACACTGCGGTGTGTCTTCATTCTTAGGTAGAGTTGACTAAATTTCTTTTAATTAATGTTAAGAGTAACTGTTCTAATGTAACTGATTCTGTTTAGGTTTCGTGTAGTTTCTGTGTAAGCCTGTCACGGTTATTTCATTTTATTTGTAATTACTTAGTATATTAAAACATCTTCAAGATTTTTGAATATTGTTTTTTATTGTGTATTTCCCCATTTTTGACCGTTATTCTTTTGTTTTATATTGGTGAAGCTGGAGAAAGCTACTCTTACTATATTCCATGCTATCCTATTTGAATGCTCAAAACCCATGCACTACAAGTTGCACCAAGAAATAGTGGGCCATATTGATCCTCTAGGAAGGTTTTACAGCTTGCCCCATAGAATGCGAATGTTTGTTCAGTTTAATTAGCAAACCTATGAATAGGCTGTGAGATGGCCTCTGTTGAATGACAACAGTCTAAAATCGAGTCCCATTTGTCTTTGAGTAAAGACGGTCGACCTACAACCCAGTACTTAGTCTCGATGGTACATCGCCTTTTTTTGTTGACTTATGTTAGTGAACTAGTCGAGTAACCATATTGTAATTGTAGAGATGTAGACATAGTTAACTTTCCTTGCTTCAAATTTCTGTAGTCTACCTGAAGGATTGGTTTATTATAAATGATCTTTTACTTTAAAAATCGGTTTTCCATCTTCAAAATGGCAACATCGTTGCACAAGTGAGGTTAGTTTTCTCTAATTACAACCAAAAATTCAATGCTGCAACGTGATTTAGTTTACATTTACAAATTATGGCAAAACTAAGAAAAGTACGTAGAAGACAAAAGTACCGTTATAACGTTAATCGTAAAAGGCAAAGAAATAAAATCGAAAATAAAGGAAAATTTGAAAGGTAAAATCTGACGCCCTGCCCCAGTAATGCCCAAAATTCACTTTTCGTTTCGTTTCAGTAAGGTAGTAAAAAATGCCTGGATCGCCCACAAATCGGCCCAGTCCAACCTACGAGCTATGGGTTTATCGTACGACCCCAATAAGACGATCAAAGCTGGCCTCGACAAAGATTCCGAAGAGGAAAAAGTCGACGAAGCACCTATCGTTTCAGCGAAAGCATACGTCGCCGAAGAATTAGAAAAAGAGGCGAAAGCTAAACGAGTTAGAAACTTTCGCTTACCCGACGGTCAAGTGAGGTATTTAATCTATTTAATGAAGAAGTACGGGGATGATTATAAGGCGATGGTGAAGGATAAGAAGAATTACAATCAGGAAACTTGGAAGCAGATACGTGCGAAAATTGAAAAATTTAAAAGTATACCCGAACAATATTGTAAATATTTAAATTAAATGTTACATAACCTTACTTTTATTTAGATAAATGTTGCCCCAAAACGTGTTTTCCCTCTTGATTAAGAATAGTGACAAGTTAAAATTACAGGATGTCCTTTTCAAAGTAAGATCATGCTTGTAATTGTTACTTTCATTGTAGGTACATATTTTAGTGTGCCTTTCAGTATGCTAGTTTGGGGTTGAATGTCTGGTTCATATCCCCACAACCCTTCAATCAGTTACCTTCAAATTTGATACCACCCGATAAGGAAGTACTACAGCTTATAACCTTTTTGTAAGTGTAACAGTTTGCGAATTTGTCTACTCCCCCTGTTGCAGATACCTACAGGATCAAGCCGATTTACTTTCACATTTAAACAGTGTTCATTTGTGGACCAAGTATCCGCAAGTTATAATCGTGAACGATTACGAATTTTATTGTGGAGATAGTCTTAGGTTAAATGCCTTTATTATCGCAAGTATGTTAGATGCTACCCTTGCCTGTGCTCGTCGACATCACTTCAAACGGGCCCACTTTGTAACTTCATTTACAAGAGAATGTACAGAATTTGAAAATATATTTTGTATGTATTTTCGCAAAATTCTTTCGTACGATGACAATGAAGACGACCTCTTACAATTAATAAAAGATGATGTATTGTTAAAATAAATTTTATTAATACTCTATTAATTATAAAAGGCACTTAGTATACGTTAATACTTTTTATGTTGGTTAACTTAGGCAATATTTTTGTATCTTGAAAATAAATTGTACAGCACACGCAGAGTCGATTTCAGATCTTGATTGACGATATCTAGAAAAAAACATGTAATGACGTTAAGCGGTCGTTAAAATTACCTTCGGGACGTGACTTGGGTCTTGCAATTCCCACTTCCTCCATTAGTTCAAAAGCAAACGATACATTGTGAACCTTCTGCTCGAAATCCTTTGGTGTCAAATGAAAACTGTACAATGGCACGAAAAATCCCTCCAACAATCCCATCAGCAACGTCAGGTAGACGCCGTCGTGGAATTGAGACTCCAATTCGGTCACCTCCAGATTAATTTTATTCAAATGCTTGTTGACGAACGTAACCAGAGACTAAAAATTGATGACTCAAGGTGTACTGTATATTTTACAGAAGTATTCGTGGAATGACATTTTCGCATTATATTATTTTTTTTAAACTACTTTGGTCTCTAAAAAGAGTGAAGAAAATGTGATTTATTTCATACTATCTAGTTATCGCCGCTTTCCCAGACTGATTTGAGTCTGGTAAATCGTATTTTACCAGACTGAAAATTTTTACCAGACTGGAAATTTTGCCTAGCAACCGCAACTGACATCCATCTAAACGTATGCATTGATATTTGTCAAACTACTGTCAGATCAAACAAATCAAGTGATCGACTTTTGCTTTTATTTTAATGTGTACCTACAACATTCTAATCAAAATGGTATTTTAATAGAAATAGAGCAGTATGAAATAAAATGTTTTACATTATTTGTATGTCAAATCAGTTTACGTTACTCGTTTCGAAATTCCTGCCTCAGCTACGCTTCGGCAGTAAACATCTCACTCGTTAACGTAAACCTTGATTTACCATACTCATATGTAAATAACTATTTCCTCTCTAGTGAGGAACGTAAAAAACAATTGCCACGTTAATTTTAATAATAACATTTAAAATTGCCCATATCTAGATTCCTATGTCAATATGACAACTTCATTATTGGGTAACCCTCTCGTGAGCTGCTTACCTTTTTCACAACTTGTAGCTTATCAGGTGCGTGATCAAAAAGTGTATCGAAAGCATCTCGTTCGCATCTCATGCCGACGTCGTCATAGGCCGCCGTGAGATCTTCACGTACCGTTCGATAATTTAACTGGCCGTATGACTTCTGCACGACAATGACGTCAACAGAAACGTGCTCGGGTAAACGGATCGGCGCACGAAAATGTCGAGCCAAAGCGACGAGCAAGTGTAAAATCGATACCAAATTTTTCGAATGAATTGCCTCCACGCTCCACTTATTTGAGGTCACTCCGTGCACGCCTAAAACCTACCCCCAGTTGCATAGATCGTCTGTGTGAAGTTAGCAAGTTTCCGGCAGCCAAATGTGGATACATAGTAAGTCAAGCATGATAGGGTTTGGAGTATTCTATTGGTGTTTGTCGAGAAGGAAGGAAATTTAGGGCAGAATGATAGCAGCAAAAGCAGGATCCTGTTTTCAAAGTGTTACCCTGACCTCCCTTGATTAAAAAAATTATTGAACACCCATACACAAATGTACATTTTAGCTGCTGAAAACAGGCTACCAACATCGCACAGGCAGTAAAATTATAAATACTCTGTTAAAATAGGCGAGTACGACAGAGAGCTTTTGTCGTTGCCCCTCCTCAGATTGGGTAACTTCCGGTACGTCTAACTTTTCGTTCGTTAGTTTCTCGAAGAGCTTCTGCAGAACCTGACCGTCGTACAAATCCTCGGCGAGGTCCTGCACAATTATCCTTTGCGAGGCCAGCTCGTCATTAATCCACTCGATCAGTACTTGCATCAGCTCATGCAGTTTGCGGTCGTTAAACGCGTGCGGTTGTATCATGCAACGTTCCTCGTTTTCTTCCAAGGCGTAATCCTCCGGGGGCACGACGGGAGCATTAGGGCTACCCGGTGAATCGATGGCGTATTTCCCTTCCGACTCGACTTCCTGCACTGCAATTACGTAATTATTTTAATTAGAACACCTACTGTTTACCAACAGCCTTATATGGGTATGAACATTACGCCGAGGCGAAGTGTTAACACCCAACGAAATGTTCACGTACCTTCCTTAATGCGTTTTTTGCGACCAAGGGTCCCAATTTTATCCCAAAAAGATTCTTCCTTGTCATTTTTTGAGATCACTTGTCGAGGAGATTTGGGTCGAGGAGACGCCATTTTTCTTGCAGATTGAAGATCTACAAAACAAATTCTAGTGCCAACATAACAATCAAAAATATACCTTTCAGTACACCCACACTTTTTTTCTCCCCAGTTTCGTCCGCGTTTGGTTTTTCATCGTCAGGTTTCAATACTACGTCGATAACCTTTGGGGTTCGGCAGATTTTTTCGATTTCGTCATCGCAAGAGTCGCCAGAGTCCTCCGAGAAGTGTATTGGGGACAATCTCGTTTCCGCGGACGACTGGCGGTACAGACACTTTTCGATCGGTTTTTCAATTTCTGATGCCTCCATATCTGGATAAATGATTACTAACAGGATTTTTACTCATTTGTAAGAATGTTAAAGGAAGTACATTTCCGGTCTAGATAAGGATGTGTCCTCAAAAGATTACGTAGTTTTACCACAAATTGTCTTTTACCTATTAATCTGCACTAGCTGTAGTATTGACGAATTTTCGTATGCCGGGTGATATTTCATAACCTCCGCGGTCATGGATATATTGAGCCTCGGTACTACATTTTTTCTGAGTGATGTAGTATATACCTATATAGCTCTGGTAATAAACTTCTTTTCCTTTCCAGTAAAAGTTGGTCGTCCTGAAATAGGCAAACATAGGTTTACCCGTTGTATAGATATTTGCTTGTATACATTTTGAACATTTGGACCATCTCGCGCATGCCTCATGCGTAGTGATGTATAAGAAATAATTTTATCATAATGAAGTGAAGGCATTCTATTCGTTGTTCTATCGTTGAATGATTGAAAACAGTTTGTAAAAGACATTTTATTTGCGTTTGTGTTGTTTATATAAGCTAAAATGTTTAATACAAAGTTGGAAGTGGACAGACACGTCGAGAGCTGTTTAAAGAAGATTAATAATGAAACTGAAGTAAGAGACAGCATTCATACAAAAAATACTAACCGCCATTTGTACCGGCTTTTTTCCCTTATCAATTTCGATTTTCCAATTCAGAGCCCCCACCCAGCGCGTTTATTAATACATCCTTGCATTACAGAGAAACCTTCGATCTTTTGCCTTTGCGAAGCTGTATTTTAAAGTCGGCGAATTCGAATATGCACGGCGGCATGTGTCCGCGTACCTGATGTCCAAGCCAATGTCAGCGGAGGCTCAAAGCTTCCTTGGAAAAATCCTGGAGAAGCAGGGTAAAGTTGAGGCAGCGCTCGATGCGTTCCGTCGCAGTTTAGCTTTGGATTCGAAACAAAACGGTCTTATTATGAAAGGTAATCGATTTTCTTTAAGGTAGCGGCTTGTAGTTTACTCTATTTCAGTTTGCGAATTATTGTCGTCTGGTAATATACCCACAGATGTTACAACTTTACGATCGTACTGTGAAGATGCGCAACGAATTGATCCGCATAATCCGATCGTATATAAACTGAAAGAGCGATTGATCGCCGCCGAAAGTGAGGATCCTAACGATGTCACGAAGTTGCTGTTAACCGAGTTGGAGACGCGTTCGACCGATGTCAGTTTACGTGTACGTCTTTTGCGTCATTTGTTGGATAACAATGAACTTAGCGCCGCATATAAACATGCGTCCGATATCGAAATGAAAAATGTGCCCGTTTTCTTAAATAGCTTGGCGTGGTACGAAGTTGTAGGTGAAGTTTTGGTGAGATATCAACGCGAGAATGTGACTTTAACACAGGACTTTTGGATGCTGCTAGTGTCTGTGCTCGATAAATTGGCATCTTTGACTTTAAACATTCACTTTAGTAATATTAAAACGGCTTCCGAATGCAAAGCCGCCGTGTTTAATTTGGATCAAACGTTAGGTATTGCCGCAAAACATTTAGGGGACATTCGGGAGCGACCTTTAGTGCGAGAGTTCTTGACACATTATCGTGCGCAGGTGTGTTTTCATTTGAGCTGCTTGCTCTACAAGCAGGCTAAGATGGACCTGATCAAGTTTAAAGATGCCACCAATTTGTTGTTGCCTTTGCTGTTTATCTCGTATAATACGCAACCGCCCGATATTAACGGCGTGTGGCTCGATCATAGCGAGGAAATTCACAAATTGCAGATGAAAAAGTGGTTTCAGGAGGCAAATTTTCGATGTTCCCAGACGGGGCATATCTTGCAAATGTCCGCGAAAGAACACAAAACTGCGCTGATCGAGAAAGTAACGCAGAGCAGTTCCGGTTTGTGGCGCGAGCAGTTGTTTAAGAAGTTGTTCATCACACGAGACGAGCAGATGAAGATGAACGACAGTTACTTTATGACATGCCCCGAATTGTTGAACGTTTGTACGCAGCTTCCGGAAGTAGGGGAGCTGAAGAAATATGACGGATACGCTCAGTTAATGCATCCGGATTCTTTGCACAATTTAGTGTGGCTGTGCTTAAGTAAACCGTTGGCAAGTTTCAAATGTACCGTTTTTGATGGTTTACAGTATTCCGTCAGAAATTTAAATAACTGTTCTGCGGAATCCCTCAATTTATTGGACGTAGAATCGTTCATCTACTGCGCCACGCTTACCGTACAAAGTCAGCTCGATCACAATATCGATAGGTCCCTCTTCATGCCTGTGTCCATCACCGATCAGCTGGGAACGCTACAACAATCCAAGTGGCTCAAAACCGCATACATGATGTATAAAAACGATTACGGCATCAACTTTAGCGAGGTTCGGTTGAATTTAATACGAGGTATTGAGGTCGTACGTTGCTGTGGTAATCACGGATTGGACGTCAAAATGCTAGCCACACTTGCCTCAGTTTTCACGGAACGCGCGAGACATTTAACCAAGCAGTCGGAAGTTGAATTTAACGAAGCGAGAGCGGATTTGTACTGGAAAGCCGCCCTACCGTTACTGGAGAAGCTTCAAAATAACCAAGCGATCAATTACGGTCAAAATCGATTGTTCGAGTACAAAACTAAAGAAATGCCCGCATCCGAAACGTTATCCTATATCGAAGACGCCCGATTATTCAACGGTCAGCAGCTGTTGAAGAAGAAGGAATACGAAAGGGCCCTGCTCGTTTTCGACAGTCTGAAGAATCCGTACGCCAGTTACTATCAGGCGCAGATCTATAAGTCGATGGCCGAGGAGCAGTTGAACCAAAATAAGGAGAACGTTACCTCTGAAATGCGAAGCCAGCACATCATTCTTCTGTCTCGATCGCGCGACTGCTTCTATCTCACTCTGGATAGGCTTCGAGATCCGTTAGTCGATCGAAAACATCCGCTAAACAAGCAGCTGGGAACCGAAATTGAAAAGATTGAAAGGTTAGTCTCTTATTTGGACGATTGATTGATACTTGATACTTTGACATATGCCTGGCATCGCTGCCTCTCCCAATATTTAGTCAACTGTCGTGGGGATGCATCCCTGGTAGGGTAGGCACTATCAGGGGCGTTTCACCACTACTTTGTTGCCATCGCGCTGGGCCGCGACATATGCCAAACAATGTTACTGTTAGAGATTTGTCAAAATGTTATAAAAGGAAAGTTGTTCTATATTTAATTCTGTTATTGCCAAAAAAAAACAATTGATCATAAAAATTAAAAATAACTTTTCTTCTATAACATTTTCTCATATCTCTTAACAATAAATAAGAAATACAGCATTTGTTATTTTAAATGGCAACCTCTATTTTTTATTACATTTTTGAAGTCTATGTCAAATTCTGCATTCTTTTGATACCACATGCCGAATCTACAATTTATGCTTTTTAAGTTCTTTTGACATTAAGAAAAAAAATAGCGAATGCAAATCGATAGTTGAAAACGGTTGCAGTTGCGGCAACCCACTTTTAGCAGTGCATAGAGAAAGAATTTTCGTACTATTGCATTCGATAGAGAATCAAAGTTGACATATTTTGATATTACATGTTCCTACGATCGATCGCTTGAACTTTGTCTGACTTTTTTTTTCTGATTTTCTTTTTGTAGTTGGCCATGATTATATGACAATCGAATTTTAAACAAATCAAGGAAGGAAGGATTCTTTAATATCATTGATTGTACTGTAGTCTAAATAATTAAAAATTGGAATAATTGGAAAACACAAGCTTATATGAAAACAAGATCAAATTATTTGAAAATCCTCTCTTCTTTAACACATGCTCAAAATGAGCGCCTTCGCGTTTCAAACAATTCAATTCTTTTTCTTAAATGTTCTCTTGTAGAGTTTTGTATCACTTTGTCTTACTCTCAAGAGTGTACTTGTGGGAGGCGTACGAACCACAGTATGTCTGAACTTTACTAGTGGTCGACAGGGGGGGGGGGGGGGCGCCTTCGGAATACTGCGCTTTAATTTAGTTTTAACATTACAGGTTACTAAGCCGTATCGATTCCGACGTGTACAACTACCGTAACGAATGCGAAGGACTCTCGGACGAGAATTTCTCTACTAACGGCAGTATCGGTGACCACGTCAACAATTTCTTTTCGTCGACGCACTACCCGGGCGAATCTCTCACGCCGCACTTAGACCGAACACACTACTCCAGTCGCTTTCGAACCGAGCCTCAATTCAAACGTGAAGCTCGTCCTAGTCCCGAACGTTTAGACGCGCAGCTTCGACAAATGCAAGCCACTCGGGATGCCACAATGGGTCAGATGGTCGAACAGAATCGTCTGATTGCAGATTCGCATAAAACCCTCGTCGAGGAGTTTCGCTGGTTGAAGGAGGCGGTTACGAATATAACCAGCTCGGTTAACGATTTCAAGGCCACCAAGCCGATGGCCAGTGAACTGCAAGAGATTAAAAACTCCATTACGGATTTAAAGGGTGCCGTGGAGGAATTGCAAACCTTTCGTAACGTTACCGACGTGGTGCAGGAGATGAAAAAAGAAATCGCCGACCTGAAAAAGGAACAGGCCAAATCAAAGAATCAGTTAAGCGACGAAGATTTGTACGTACTGGATGACGAATACGCTACCGATTATGGTATTAATTCAAACGTCGCTGCGTTTAATCCCAACAGCTTGTATCCTCGGATACCTCCCACTTATCAACCACCGGCATTGTATCCGGGCATGTATCCTGTTTATCCATATCCCAATTTGGGACTACCACAAGCAGGTAGGCATCGTTTTGCAGGTAATTTCTCTAAACTCTGTGGCCCATTACGATGTTTGCAAATTATAAAATTTAATTGTACCGTGTGTTCAATTCAAATAGAGAGTTGCAGTTTTTGCGATCCTGCGCCACTTTTTAGTGAAACGTATAATACCACAAACAGAATCAATCTAGCCACGTTTGTTTTTGAGATACAGGGTGAAAACGAAAAGTTTGACTTTTTGGGATTTTATCATATGTTACTACCAATCTAAGGTAGCCAAAATGTAAAAAGTGGCTATTTTAGATATTGTTACGTAAAATCCAGGGGTGTGATCACCATTTATGAGGTTTGACCCAAACGAGGACCCAAAGTATTTTTTTAATGCAACACCCGTATATCTTAACGTCAACTGTTTTTTATTCCTTTTCCTAATTACATTTATGTATCAACCTATATATTTTTTAACTGTTTTAAATAGTAGGCCGTGGATTCATGGATATTTTGTTTTGTTTATGGTATCCCTGGTAACTGAGGGCCAATCAATAAAAATGATTGATAGTAGAAATACGTCATTTCGAAATTTTGAAAAATATAGGATAATACATCAATGTAATCACGAAAAATAATGCAAAAAAATACCTAAAATGGCCAGTTTTTATCTTTTTTCTATCTTATATCGATAGTAAGATATGATAACATCCCAAAAAAGGAAACTTTTTATTTTTACCCTGTATCTCAAAAACAAGTGTAGTTGAATTGATTCTGTTTATGGTATTAAGTTCCACAAAAAAGTATCATAGGGTTTATTTGTAATTCAGTCTTGGTATGATTTTACATTGAGCATTTTTTCACTTTTAAAATTTTGGGATAAAAATAATCGAAATGAATTCTGTGTGGTTGGCATTACGTATTAAAATTCCGAATGGGAATCTAAGCTGTCTTGATTTTTAAAAATATAAATTTTTAATAAATGGCACCAAACTGATCGTAATAAATGATTGACTTTCGTTTACAGGTGCTCTACCGTTTGGCCAAGAAACACAAATTCCTGATTTCCGAGCGTTAAACCTTCCACAACCACTAGCACAGCCCACATATGGTCAACCAAACTTAGTGAATAAACCACCGTGGGACCTTGGAGTTGTCCAACCCGGTTTGGCACAGCTCAATGTTATCCCGCCCGTAATGGTACCGCAGATTCCTGCACAGACACAACAAGCGAACATTTTCCGTGACACCGTTTCAACTACAATTACAACTACTTCAATATTCCCGCCGCTCACCACTATAGCGTCACCGGCCAACAAAGCCCCCAACAATGTTGTGATCACATCATCGGACCCCTTGCCGAAAAGTACCGTCGCTACCACTCAAGTACTCTCGGTTACCATTCCCCCTCAACATCTAAAGGGCAACGTTCCGCTGAAATCTCATCCTCACAACTATCAAATACCACTACCGACGACGAGCTCAACACTCAACATGACTCCAACAGTTATTCATCAGCCCCCACCCGTCGTTACGACTCAGGGACTTTTATCAAACATAGCGCCTCCCGTATACTCGGCGGTTGGCTCGAAAAGCGCCACTTTGGGCTTACAAATTGAGAAAACTCTCAATCAGAGTTTCAACAACAGCACGGACGGCAGGGGAAATTTGTCGTCGCGTTCACTCGACGAGCACGATCCCTGTCCCGATTTTAAGCCGATCGTGCCACTTCCGGACGAAGTTCCTTTGAACACGGGGGAGGAGAACGAATTGGTGCTCTTCTCGGAGCGTGCGAAGCTATTCAGGTTTACCGATAAAGAATGGCGCGAACGAGGTGTCGGTAATATAAAAATTTTGGAGGACAACGATACAGGAAAAATTCGTATCGTCATGAGAAGAGATCAGGTGCATAAGATTTGTGCGAATCATTTTCTGACGAAAGATATGGTCTTGTCGCCGATGCCTAATAGTGGTAAGGCGTTTATGTGGGCCGCCAACGACTTTGCCGACCAAGAGATGATTTTGGAGACGTTGTGCGTAAGATTTAAGACTGAAGAGGAAGCGAAGGCGTTCTTTGTTGCGTTTGAAAATGCAAAGGCAAGGCTCCGATCGGTCAAAGATGACGAAACGAGCGATGTATCGACTTCATTGGGTGGCTTTACGTTTACAAGTACGCCAACTTTTAAACCAAAGGAGCAGAGTGTGACGGCGAGCGTTACTCCCGTGCCGGATACCACCACCACAGGGAATAGTAGTCCCTTTGCTTCTTTTTCCTTTGGCGCGAAAGCGCAGATCTTATTTGACAAGAAAGATCCGAAACCCGCCGCCGTGTGTGACGAAAACGCGGAGATACTCTTCGAGTCCCACGCCGAATTATCCAAGTACGATGTAGACAATAAGGAGTGGAAGGAGTGCGGTGTCGGAGTGATAAAACTACTCAAAGAGCACACTATCCGATTAATGATGCGACAAGATCATCAGGTATTAAAAGTATGTTGCAATCATCAATTGCTCAAAAGTACCAAGTTTAAAAAAATGCCCAAAAGTCCAAAAACAATCAGTTGGTGCGCACAGGACTGTTCCGAGGGCGCAATGAGACCGGAAATGTTTACCATTCGCTTCCAATCGGACGAGCAAACCGATACCTTTTACAAGGCGGTCTTGTCGGCAAAAGACTTGCTCGATGACAACAACGTGGTGAAGTCGGAAGAGAAGGTCGCCATCATGGAGATAAAAAGTGACGGCAACGTTAAGGGAAAGAAGGAGGAAAAGAAGGTCAAAGCCGACGTCGGCGAAACTGTAGAGCAAAAATTAAATAAATCCAAGTCAAAAACCGGCAGTTGGAAGTGCAAAACATGTTTCATCGCCAATGAAGGCAAAGACCATTTTTGTATTGCTTGCGAGACGCCCAAAAATAACACCACTCCGAACAAATCAACCAGCGAGCCCATATTCTCCTTTGGCGCATCTCAGTCGTCGACCTCTCCGGGTTTCATTTTTGGTAAGGAACCCGCAAACTCTTGGGGCGATGCGTTTAAACCACCAGTCGGATCGTGGGAGTGCCAGCAGTGTTTAGTTCGAAATGATGGCACTAAATTGTATTGTATTTCGTGCGAGGCACCTAAAAATGGTACGGTTCCGGCGAAAAAGGAAAATGCTCAACCCACATTCGGGTTACAGTTCACTTTTGGTATTCCCAAGCCCATTTCGGCAACCGATTCGACATTGAAAGGTGAAGAAACTTACTTTAAACCGGTTACACAACCGTCGCACACGGGAGAGGAAGTTTTGTATTGCCATCGTACCAAATTGTACCAGTTCTCCGACAATAACTGGAAGGAACGAGGAGTCGGCGATATTAAAATCTTACGTAATTGCGCCAATAAAACATTAAGGTCAGTAAAAATTAAAGGGTCGTTTTGGAACAACTCGAGTGTTACTTTTTTAGGGTGGTCATGTACAGGGAACAGCCGTTGCAGTTATGTCTCGATCACGTTCTAACCGCCGCCATCGAGTATCTGCCGAAAGACGAAAAGGCGTGGACGTTTACCGCCCCCGATTTCTCCGAGGGTAAAATTAACAACTGCAAGTTTTATGTTAAATTCAAAACGTCGAAGCTCGCTCAAGATTTTAAATCTGCCGTCGATGACGCCCTCAATCAGTTCAAAGCAGGTAAGAATGGTGTACCGGTTTGTTTATTTTAACGTTAATACATACTTTCAATTAAAATTCAAAATTATCAAGTGGCCATACTAGTCATGGTTGTTTCAATTTTGACGTTCGCGGTGAAAAATAGTACCTATTATACAGGGTGGCCATTTGAAAACGAAACAGAGCCTATTTTGGGAACCTCAAAACATTTACGAAAAAATCCTCGGACCCGTCAATTTTTGATTCAAGGGGGAACTATTTTTTTGCTAGTTCCGCCCCCCTAAGGGCAAAGCCCTAGCGGGGGTGACGACCGCCCCCAAAATCTTAAATCGAATGGGGAGTTATAACCCTTAAGCTTTAAATCGCTACTAATTTGCCTAGCCAATCCAGGGGCTAATAAAAGTTACAAAAACGTGTCAACATTTTCTTATGAAAATAACAAAAATTAATACAACAATAAATACAAAAAATGTTCTCCTACATACTGAATCATACTTTTTGTTGTTTTTTTTTTTCTTTTTAATACCTGTAGGTGGCTATGCCAATTCTGCAACGGAAATCTTGGTTATTGTTAAGAGCGTTACTATAGTAACATTTTGAAGATTAATAGTGATTGTCAATTGTTGTCAAATCATAGTAGTGACAAATAGTACTTTAAAGTTATTTAGTTGCAAAATCGGTACATTGAACAGTGATAATGGTTTATTCAATTGCTGAAAGAGTTGAAATAATTTCTCTTTTTTTTTGCGAACTATGAATATGCTCAACTCTTTAATCTACACCACCAGAATCGACAGATCCATCGGAAGTACATCTTGGAATTGGTTCAAAAATTTAGGGAAACTGGGTCTGCGGCTAATAAAAAACGTGAAATGGAAAATCGAATAGTAAATGAAACTTCAGAAGTGGCTATTGTGGGCCATATTGTGCAAGATGAGATCACACTGAGCACAAGGAAATTGTCAACCGTGTCTGGTATTAATAGAAGCAGCATTCAGAAGATATTAAAAAAACGCAAATTTCATCCGTACAAAATACATCTCGTACAAGAACTAAATGAAGACTATTTTGATAGGCGAGTACAATTTTGTGAAACTATAACTGAACAAGCCACAAATGATCAACACTTTCTGTTTAATGTATGTTTTTCTGACGAGTGCTCTTTTTTCCTAAACGGTACTGTGAATCGTCACAACTGTCGCTATTGGGCTGATTCAAATTCCAGAATATTTCGTGAGGCGCATACACAACGCCCCGAAAAATTGAATGTTTGGGCTGGCATTTTTGGTAACCATATCGTAGGCCCCTTCTTTTTACCTGGCAATCTAACAGGAGAGATGTACCTGGAGTTATTAGAAAATACGATTCATCCAGCATTAGTGGAGATACTAGAAAATAACAACGAGTACTTGGAAAATCGTCTAGAATTTCAGCAATCTGGTGCGCCACCCCACTATGCTGCAAGGGTTCGTCAATATTTGGACCAAACGTTTCCAGGACAATGGATTGGAAGAAGAGGAGCTATTGAATGGCCTCCTCGTTCCCCGAACTTAAGTCCGTTAGATTTCTTTTTATGGGGACATTTAAAAACTAAAATTTATGCTAGTCAGCCAACATCGCTAGAGAACTTGCGACAAAGAATAATTGATGAATGTCGTCAAATCACCCCAGAAGTTTTGCAAAATGTACGGGAAAGGTTTGAACAAAACCTGCATTATTGTATGGAAGTCGAAGGCCAACATTTTCAACATTTGCTTGATTGATTTTAGCTTTAAGCACTTAAAATAAAACTGATTTAAATCTTAAGAGTTATAATCTACATAAAAATACCTTCAAAATAAGGTATCCCTCGACCCCCCCCCCCAATTCGATTTAAAATTTTGGGGGCACTTGTCACCCCCGCTATGGCTTTGCCCCCTTGGATCAAAAATTGACGGATCCGAGGATTTTTTTCGTAAATGTTTTGAAGTCCCCAAAATAGGCTCTGTTTCGTTTTCAAATGGCCACCCTGTATAATATACAGTGATATTCATTTAGAAGTAGACATAGGGATTTCCTATAGTAATTCCCTATGTCTACTTTTAAATGATAAAAAGTCTTCTGAAGGACTTTATGCAACTTTATGCAAGCAGAATAACTACCTACAACAAATAAAGATCTGCCTGTCATATTAATTAATTTGAATATCATTGCTTTGACTTCCGTATTCTAATTGTCGTTCATATGCGGTGAATTCAACTGAAAAAAAAGTTGATATTTCTAATTGCTATAGCGCCGATAACAGTTAAAGGAGCTTAAGAGATTTATTTTCTAGGAAGCCAAAGCAACAATATTCAAATTAATAATTAATATAACAGCCAGATCTTTATTTGTTTCAAGAAGTTATTTTGGTTGCATAAAATTAGGCGTTTTTCGGGAGACTATTAGGTATAGGAAATCCCTATGTCCACTTCTATATGAAAATCTGATATCTTAGTTGGCAGTGTGTAATGTGTCATAATAAATATATCTTGGGGTATGAATGATGACAACTGAGCATTGTTGTCAGCTCGCTACAGAAAGTAATTAAATACTGTAATCAATTACAATTGTAATCGATTACTTCCCAGCTCTGTTCCATTTGGACCAAAATCAGCAACGGGAAGGAAGAAAATAAAATTTACAATATAAACAGAAGAAAGAAAGAGGAAAGAAATTAAATCTACGATATAATTAGGATGGTTCAGAAAACGTCCAGCTTGCCTACAATTGATGCGAGATAGTGATAGTTAATGTGGCTTATTGAGATTGTTGTAGGTACTGTTTACTAGCAGATTTGAAAAGAGATAATTACTTCCTTATTTTAAATGGACGCCATTTTGGATTTTTACTCAATTTGATACAGCTTTTTTTCTCCATCCAACCATGTATAACAACTATAACAAGTTATTATTCAAATAATAGAGATAAATATATTATTATTATGGTCGGTGTTTCTTGTGAGAACTCAGGTCTAGCCTGGTTAACTAATCGCACGGATTAAAATCAAGTAACGATTAGTGTCTGTGTCTGATGAAGTTATGTAGGGTCCTTAAAAAAAAAAATAAATAAGAAAAAAAAATAAAAAAAAAATAAAATAAAAAAAAAATATCACACACGTACATTGGACATCTAGGGATAGTATGTAATTCGTACTTACCAACATACCTATTGGTGGGCACAATAGCCAACGCTATCAGGAAAGAGGAAAACAAAACAAAACAAAACAAAATCATTATAATAATTCCTGTAATTTTATTAAATGGAGTTTATTGTGTAAGTGTTTCTTTGGCTTTGCGTTTGGGTTGAATACGAGTGGGTTGTGATAACGTGGTGCGTTTCTGTGAAGAAGGAGTTTTGTGTTTTTTATTTGTATTTATGGTGTTTCTTTGTTCCTGAGGTCGTGTTTGTGAGGTTGCTTGGGTTTTTGGTGGAGATATTGCAGTATTTTGTGAGCCTGTGGTGCTGTTAAGGTTTTTGCGTTTCGGTTGTATACGAGTGGGTTGTTTCTGAGAAGAAGGAGTATTGTGTTTTTTAACTGTGCTAGGGCGTGTAACTTTATTGGATGGACCTGTCTTTGTAGTGCATGTTGCGTTACTTGTATTTATGGTGTTTCTTTGTTCTTGAGGTTGTATTTGTGAAGTTGCTTGGGTTTTTGGTGGAGATATTTTAGTATGTTGTGAGCCTGTAGTTCTGTATAGGTTTTTGCGTTTGGGTTGAATAAGAGTGGGTTGTGATAACGTGGTGTGCTTCGGTGAAGAAGGAGTTATGTGTTTTTTAATTGTGCTAGGGCGTGTAACTTTATTGGGTGGACCTGTCTTTGTAGTGCATGTTGCGTTACTTGTATTTATGATGTTTCTTTGTTCTTGAGGTTGTATTTGTGAGGTTGCTTGGGTTTTTGGTGGAGATATTGCAGTATTTTGTGAGCCTGTGGTGCTGTTAAGGTTTTTGCGTTTCGGTTGTATTATTATTATTATTATTATTATAAATAATAAACATGGGTAAATTTTCAGTTTGCATTTTTTCTTCATAGTTGGCTATGGAAACAGCAAGCAATTGACATTTTGCAATGTTACAATTGACTTAAATGATGACTTGTTATACATGCTTGGAAAGAGAAAAATAGTATATTAAAGTACAAGTGTCATTTGACGAAGATTGTCGCACGAGGCAGTTTGCCGCATAAGCCTTTAGACGTTGTTGGGTAATTTTAAACTATCATTCAGTGTATGTTGGTAATAGACACAGTTCATTTATTTTCACGTTGGCTAACCTGATTCCTGTATTTTCAAACTTCAAACTTTTAATTATTTGGTCATAATTCCATTTTGCGGCAGTTATCATGAATACGGATGACAAACACGTCTCTTGTACCCCACCAGAGATCCAAGAGATTGCCAATGAAGCGACGTTAAATTTACTGCCTCGAAAGTAAAGTACGAGGAGTACAACATTTTTAAAAACTGGCTGACCGAGAAGGGAGTTCAAAAAGTAAGCAAGAATGTACTGCTGGCATATTTTACTACGCTAAGTAAAAATAAAAAAAGTTCTACCCTTTGGAGTATACAGGGTGACAATTTGAAAACTTACCACCCCCCATATCTTAGTAAATAAACGAAATATTTAAAAAAATCAAAATCCGTTTTGGTAATTCGGAGGGGGAATCACAATGACATAGTTGGCGACGCACCCCCCCACACCCCCTGCACCCTAGCCACCCCAACTTTTAAATCTTAAATAGTGACTCCCCATGTGTGATACGTCGTTGGAAAGCTCTGAAAAAATGCTTTCCAACCATACCAAATAGCATTACATTTAGGTTAGTAATTTTCGTGCAAATCAAAAATAAACTAATATGATACATTTGAAATCTGTCGTATTTAAAACGCAACCGGCGAACATGGACGAACTAAGACAGAGAATAATTCAAGAATGTCGAAATATTGCAAAACCAACATTGGAAAGGTTCGACAAGAGTTTGAGAATAGATTATAACTGGCGATCAAAAATGAGTTGCTGTCGAGTCGGCTTTGGAAGTCCAAGTTAAATACGATTTTCCATGTTTATTTTTTGATTTGCACGATAATTACTAACCTAAATGTAATGCTATTTGGTATGGTTGGAAAGCATTTTTTCAGAGCTTTCCAACGACGTATCACACATGGGGGGTCACTATTTAAGATTTAAAAGTTGGGGTGGCTGGGGCGCAGGGGGTGTGAGGGGGTGCGTCGCCAACTATGTCATTGTGATTCCCCCTCCGAATTACCAAAACGGATTTTGATTTTTTTAAATATCTCGTTTATTTACTAAGATATGGGGGTGGTAAGTTTTCAAATTGTCACCCTGTATATTCAAAATTAATCGGAATTAATACAATCGGTCAAGTTCCTCGTACGTTATTTACACTTTACAAGTTATGTTTAGTTTTGATTTGACGGATACCGTTGACGACAAAAAAGCGAGGGGTACCAATCCAACAAAATAAAAAAAATAATATTCCACATCGAAATAGAAAAAAATCTGTATCAAACTGAGTAAAAATCCAATTTAGCGTCCGTTTAAAATAAGGAAGTTGAAGTCAATACGTCGAAAACCGCCATTTTTAAATGTGACTATTTAAATAATGTTTGTATTGTGTACAGTGCGGCATTTTGCACAAAATCAAACACATCGCTAGTGTCTATTATCTGCCGTCGATTGTGAAACTGTTAGGATAAAATTATAAGATTATTTTATTTTTAGGAAGTGACAAATGCCGCAATCAATCCGACGTGGAAATTGTCTCAGAAATTCAAGTAAGCGCCGAAGAAGAGGCGGAAGCGATTCGTCTAAAACTGCCACCGAAATTTATGGCATACCGTCAGTTGCCCAATTGTACGTGCGAAACTTGTAAAGAGGACGATATAATTTTAGGGGATCTAGTAAAGAGCACCTCTCCCTCTGAAAAGCAAGTTACATTCGGTACTCCGGAAACGTTAAAGGATATATTGGCAAAACCGAAACTAAGCGTCGCACCATCAATGGCGGCGGAACCCTTCAAACCGTTTGCTTTTTCCACCAAAACGGACAAACCCCCAGTCTCTAAATCTCTGTTTGGCAGTACGAGTACACCGATGATTGGAAGCACTCCTCCCACGTTTGCCACCTCGACAGATTTAACTAAAGGCGAGCCAATATTTAAAGTCGATCCTAATTTAAGCTTCGCAAGTTTATCAAATTTGACGGGCGGCGGTTTGGCGTTCGGAAAGATACCCGAAGGTGAGTCGTGTTTTCCCAACAGTCTCTTATTGTAGGAAAACATTAGAATGCGAGGCTTTTACAACCGACTACCTTTGATTACAGGTAACGATAAGTCCTTTACCTTCCTGGGTTCCGGGGCTCCAGTGTTCGGGTCTCAAACTAAGAAAGACAAATCGAAAGACGAAGGAGACGGCGAGGAGGAACACGAAACGACAGAAGAATACGATCCGCATTACGAACCAATTGTACCGTTGCCAGAGGCGATTGTCGTTTCTACGGGGGAGGAGGAGGAGGTGGCCGTGTTTGACGAACGAGCCAAACTGTTTAGGTACGACAACGACACGAAGGAATGGAAAGAACGGGGTGTAGGCCAAATGAAAATTCTCCACCACCCACAAAAAGGTAAAATGCCACCCGTTTGTTACTTGCGTGTTACTTACTCCCAATTTCAGGTACTTATCGCTTTATTTTACGTCGCGAACAAGTGCATAAAGTCGTTCTAAACATGTTGATCACTGCAAGTTTGGAGTTGCAACCAATGGTTACATCCGATAAGGCTTGGTTGTGGTACGGCATTAATCATACCGACGACGGTCAGCAAGCGGAAAAACTCGCCGTTCGCTTTAAAAATTGCGATTTATCCAACAAGTTTCAAACAATCGTTGAGAATATTATTACTAAGGTGAAAGATTTCAAACCTGTGACTTCCGTCGAGAAGACTACTACCGAGGTACCGGCCGAAGTACCGAAAGTAAGTTGGGATCAATTTAAGCCGAAAGCCGGGACTTGGAAGTGTAAAACCTGCGATATTTACAACGAGGCAAAGGATCATTTTTGCGTTGCGTGCGAAACACCAAAGAGCAATGCATCTTCCGGACCCGTATTCTCTTTCGGAGCGTCACCTCAATCTACATCAGGCGGAGTTAATTTTAACCCATCTCAATTTTCGTTTGGCACGCCCGTAACTACAACTGCGTCATCCACAAGCTTCATCTTCGGTCAAAAGCCTGTCGGTGCGAATGAGCAGGTCAAAGACGGAGCGAGTGGCTGGGGAGATGCGTTCAAGCCAAAGCCGGGCTCGTGGGAATGTCCTAAGTGCTTGATTAGAAACGATGCAGATAAGGTACGATGCGCTTCCTGTGACCATTTAAAGGATACGTTCGGCTTTACTTTCGGAGACGCAGCTACTGACCCATTTAAATCGACGGAGGAAAGTAGAGATCAGTTTGTGTTCGGCTCCCCTCAACAGCACGCGTTCGAATTTACACCACGTTCGCCTAGACGGCACAGTAGTGGCGGACAAGGAGAGGAATCCGATAGTTTTGTGGAGGATGAAGGCGATCATATCTATTTCAAGCCCGTAGTACCGCTCCCAAATAAGGTGGAGGTCAAGACCGGCGAGGAAGACGAGGAAGTGCTGTACTGTCATCGTGCTAAACTGTTTCGATTCATTGACGGTGAATGGAAGGAAAGAGGTCTTGGTGATCTTAAGATTTTACATAGCAAAGTTAACAAAAAGTTAAGGTGAGCAGAACTTGCTTGTCGTGGGCTTGGGGATATGTGTTAACATGTTTTATTCCTCTAGGTCAGTGGTCGGCAACCTATTGAAACGAAAGAGCCAAAAATTGCAATTTGCAAAATTTCCCAGTTTTTAAAGAGCCACAAACATTTTTTGTAAATATTATAATATTTGGCTATATACAGGGTCCTGCAACAGTGCGTCAGTTTTTCCTACATAGCTGACACCTGGTAAAAAATATTGGTGGTTGCGGATCTACAGAAATTATTTTTGAATGTACAGGGTGTCCTATTTTTACGATGTCAATAAATAACTGATCTTTTTAAATAGAACATCCTGCATATTTTTATTTGTTTCAGTGCCATTTGTTCAAAGTCCTATAACTATTCTTTTTCAAATGGAACTACCACTTTTATTTTGCTATTCGATTATTTTTTGAGTTCTCTTCAATGTTTATAACGGGTGCCCTGTACTTAAACCCCGCAGTTTTTGTTATTCAATATTTTTCAAAAAAGTACCTACTCATTAATTAATTACGTGTTTATACATCGGAGTAGGCTGCTATAATAAAAAAACAAAAGAATATCAGAAAGTAAACAAGTGGCACAAATTAGATAATTATTTGCTGCAAGTGTACTTTTGATTTCGTAAACAAATAAGATTAATTAAAATGGCAAATTTCGAACTAATTTCTTTAGATAAATACAGAGAGCCGCAACTTATATCAAAAGAGCCGCAAGTTGCCGACCCCTGCCCTAAGTGGGGTGGTTAACTCCTTTTTATAAACATCATGTTTCAATTTACTTTTCAACCCTACCCAACTCTAACTGAAAATTCCATTGTTTTGCTCCAACAAACAATTATGCAAAATTTATCACTAAAGGGGATGAGCGAGGGGATGAGATAAGATTTGCCACCTGACGCATTTCTTTTATTTCAATTATTAAAATAACTAACAGATGACACTTGCTGTTACAATTGTAGCAAGCAATGATTGCTACTCTCATTTGTTAACAAAAAAATAATATGCTATCTGATATGATAAAATTAATTGTAAATGAATTTTTTTTATCAATACTGTTTTTAGGATTGTAATGCGTCGCGAGCAAGTGCTCAAGATTTGTTTGAATCACGTTTTAACGGCTGAAATTGAATATCTTGCCAAAGACGACAAGACGTGGCTATTTTCGGCCCCAGATTTTTCCGAAGGCGAAATTAACCACTGGCAGTTCTGCGTTCGATTCAAATCTTCCGATATAGCCCGAGAATTTAAATCCGCAGTTGACGACGCTTTGAAGAGAACACATTCAGCCTCCCCTTCGACCTCTGGTAAGGTTTGGATTGATTACTTAAATGCTAACAACATAGGCTTGTTTGGCACCGGCGCACTTTTGGTCACAGCCTTGACTGTTTGGGTTAACAAAAAATCGCACTGATTACGCTTCTGTGATATTTTAACAGTTTTAAGTCATTTACTTGAATGCTAAGAAAGGAGGACCTTTATATCAGTATTTTATCACTTGCATTTGCGGTTGAATAAAACACTACAAATTTAATACCTTTTTATTTAAGAACCCATTGCAATCTTAGCATTCTTTTGTTTTTGTTTTTTTTTAAATTTTTATTTGTAGTTAAAGAAATGTATTTGCAATTTTGGTTGGAAGATTTCATACGGTTTTTTTAAAATTCTATCTAGTAATCTGATTACATTGTTACTTTGTTTTATTCTCAGCATAAGCTTGCCATTTTGTAGGTACTTTGTTTACCAAGAAAATTATTGACTATTTACTTCTTACAGTTTGATGTATTCTTATAAATTAGCCATAGCCATAGTGTTGATTATATACAGGGTGGTGACTTGCGTAACGCATCATAGGGATTTCAATGTAAAATTCATAACATGTGATTATTGGCTCCCCAAATTATTTTAAAGCAAAAATGTATTAAGGTTTTTTTTAGAAAAATATTTTTTACGTCAATCAACCGTATTAGTTTTCAATAATATGTGATGCCATGTAGATACATTAATAGTAACAAGGTTAGCAATAGTGCTCCAGATTCACTTGATTGTCAGAATTGATATGGCACAGAATGAACCAAAAATTTAAATTCCTCTTCCACAAAAATTGTAAATAACATTTTCTCCGTGTAGCAATTACATTTAATTTCTCGACAGTTAAGGAAGACGTATCCGAAGTCGAGTTTATATCCGAAACTCAAGTAAGTGCAGAGGAAGAACAAGAAGCCATTCGTCTAAAGCTGCCTCCGAAATTTATGGCTTATCGTCAACGGCCCGATTGCACATGTGAGACGTGCAAAAGCGAGGACGCCATCGCTGCTCCACCACATACCTCCCCCATTAAACAAACGGACGCTTTCAAATCGTTCTCATTTTCCCTAAAAACGGACACGCCCACCATCTTTTCTCAAACACCGTCCAAATCTGCCTTCTCCAATTCGCCAACGTCCGGCGGTAACATTTTTGGAACCCCCGTCAAGCCGGCGCAGAACATTTTTGGCAACACGAACATATTTCGACCCTCAAATTTATTAGCGGTAGGACAGGGTAAACCGTCGTCCACATCTGAAAACGAACTCGTATTCAAAGCTGATCCGAATTTGAGCTTTTCTAGTTTATCGAATTTGAAGACCGACAGTATAGCATTCGGAACAAAGGCGGAAGGTAGGTGAGTTTTGAGGTCACACTTTTCTTACGCGTATCACACAGAAGGCGACAAAGTGTTTTCCTTCTTGGGATCTGGACAGCCCGTGTTTGGTTCGGCGATGAAATCTCAATTGAAAAAAGATGAGGGCGAGGAGAGCGAGACGGAGGCGGGTGAAGAATATGATCCGCATTATGAACCGATCGTACCGTTACCAGAGGTAGTTGCCGTTTCGACAGGGGAAGAAGAGGAGGCGGTCATATTTGATGAGCGAGCCAAATTGTTCAGATATGATAATAATAGCAAGGAATGGAAGGAGAGGGGCGTCGGTCAAATGAAAATTCTCCATCACCCAATAAATGGTAAGTTGATCACTGGGTAACAGTCGCACTTATTTTCAAAAATTGCAGCTACCTACCGATTTATTTTACGTCGTGAGCAAGTGCATAAGGTAGTTTTGAATATGCTGATCACCAGCAGTTTAGAGTTGCAACAGATGATCACATCGGATAAAGCGTGGATGTGGTACGGCGTTAATCATACGGATGAAGGTGCACAAATGGAAAAATTGGCTGTTCGATTTAAAAGCTGCGAGCTGGCCCAAGCTTTTCGTTTGGCTGTAGAGAAGGTACTTGCTAGTATTAAAGAGCATGAAAAGACCTTACCGTCAATGCTGCAAAGTTTTGGACTGGACGTCAGTGACGAACATAGTGAATATAAGGAAGATGATGATGACGAAGAGGAGGATGAAGAGGAGGAGGAGGATGAGCGGTAGGTGCAAAGGATTGCTTCTGAAAACTGATAAGAATTTTGAATTTCAAAGTTTGGGAAGTTATAAATTTGATTTCTAAGTTGATATTTTATTACAGTACAATTATGTTTATGAAACCGTGTCGTTTGAGCGAGGAGATACGACCAGGCGAATGGAAGGAGATCTGTTCGGGTGACCTATCGATGTATTACGAACCAGAATTTTATGCCTCTCGAATTTTTATGTGTGACCAGTCCGGAAACGAAATTGTCAATACATCAATTGAAGCAGACACCGAAATGATGGTACATTAGTTTTCTTAATATCAAGAGCTGGATGGTACTTCAAAAAAGTAACTAGTAATTATGTTTATTACTTTTGAGACACATTAACTAGTTATTTTTTTTAAGTAATTCAGTTAGACAAGGTAACTATCACTATAAAATACTTTTCAATTCGTAGCTGCTCACGGGCTACATTCATATTTTTTGCATCGTTTAGGTACGTACACAGGAAAGGTCCTGTGGTAATCATATGATGGCATTGTCTGTTTACATACAGCTCTTCTCCTTTATATATTTCAACGTAATTTACTGTATGAAGAGCTAAAAGCACGTGATTGACACTGGACCTTTACTAAACGCTGATATACAGTGATATTCATTTAGAAGTAGACATTTCCTATGTCGACTTACATGATAATAAGTCTCCTGAAAGACGCCTAATTTTATGCAACCAAACTAACTACCTACAACAAATGGAGATCTGCCTGTCATATTAATTAATTTGAATATCATCGCTTTGACTTCCCTATTCTAATTTCGGTTCGTGTGCGATGTATTCAACTAAAGAGAAAGTTGATATATCCAATTGGTATAGTGCCCATAACAGTTAAAGGAGCTTAAGGGATTTATTTTCTGTGTAGCCAAAGCAACAATATTCAAATTAATAATTAATATGACAGCCAGATCTTTATTTGTTTCAAGAAGTTACTTTGGTTGCATAAAATTAGGCGTCTTTCAGGAGACTTTATCATGTAAAAGTAGACATAGGAACTTCTACATGAATATTACTGTATTTAGCTCACCCACTGCTTTGAATGGAGTAAAGATTTATGTCTTTAGCAGCTTTTGATATTGCAAACATAAAGTTTTAGATTAGTTGGAATCTAAAGTTTATTGCTAAAATGTTATGCTGACAATATGAAGAGCATTGCTTATTGTGATACAATTCTTGAATTGATTTGAAGTATTGGAAAAGGTGAGCTACGTCTTACTTTGTTACGTAATTTTTCCATTATTTGCAAATTTAAAGTTACCGAATACAGATTAATGGCCACTTTCTTAGTTTGAAGACAACTACTGTATATGGAAGACGACAGATTGGCAAGACAATAATGTGAGATTGCGAACCGTAAAGGCCACTTTCTCCACCCCTCACGACGCAGAGAATTTCCATTGTAGATACCTCGAATCGCTCCAGTATGCTCAAGAAACCAGCAATGACGAAGAATAGAACGTTATATTTTGTTTGTACTAAAAATGTGATTTATTAAACACTCCGTACTTGTTTTAAATTTTAATAGCCTTTTCCTGGAGTGTATCTGAGCACTTTAGCGGTAGGCCTTATAAAGCTAATAAAATAAATGTATGTTTTTTCTATTAAATGAAATTTATTTACGCAATCATTACATAAACTTGAAAACAATTTAATCCTTTCTCAGTTGGAAAGAATCGCTCTTAAGTCCGTCCTTTGTTATGATATTAATGTGAATTCCATCACCGGTGTAGATATCACGTTCGGCAGCAGAAATGAAAACGTCTTTTAATATGGCAAGGGCACGTTCAAGTGGAATCGGTTCGGATTTAATTCCTTGCATGTTTTTCAAGCCCACTTGATTATCTAACAAAGGTTGTAGAAGAGCACCGGCGGAGCCACCTGCACGATACTTTGCTTTCTCACAATGACCAATGGGATCATAACTGTAAACACAGCCTTTACCCTCGTCGTCTAAACCAACCAGCATGTTTGATATGTAATATGGGAAAAAACGCTTGTAATACAAAATGGTCGAGAGCATTTGGGCGGCTGCAGTCGTAGACATCGTTTTGTTATGCTCCTGTTCATACATTTGCATTCGAGCGCTCAAAAGACGGGTCAGTGTGAGCGTATCACACCAACATCCGGCACAACCCAACACAGTCGTATTTGTCAATTGAAACAGTTTATTTTGTTCTCTTGTGTAGATTTGAAACCCCGCACTGAGACGGGTATCTCCGGCGATAACAACATAATCATCTCCAGCTATGGCTACGATGCTCCTAAAATGAGAGGATATTACAAAGAGATAACCGACTCTTATTTATTCTTACCCTCCATTATCGGCGTAAGGGCTGAAATGGTGTTTGGTCGGAGCATTTGCAGCATAATCAGGAAAATAAGGGCGAGATACAGTTGCCGACATTGTTTTTAGGATGACTAACAAATTTTCAACTTTGACTTTGGAGGTTATGTTTTAACAATTGAAGTGAAGTTGTCTCTTTTGGAAAATACACTGTACACACGGCCAACTTGCAGATGTGTAGCATATTGACTCCCTCGGTACTGCGCAAACGCAAGCGCGCTAAAATTTGAATTTGCGTACAACTGTCAAGTGTAAGGGGTAAATACAATGAATAAAGGTAAATAATATACACATAACCTGCAAACGTTATAATTGAAGATAATTTAGCTTACCTGCTTACCTATTGTAAGTAGGTGTAGTAGGTATATGATAATGCCATGTTATCAAGATTTCAAGTACATTAGTCTTAAAGACGCCACCGTCGCTTTTTAGTTCATCGAGATTTCCCCAGGGTCTTAAATGGCGCCACCGTCGCTTTTTAGTTCCTTTTTAGCTATCATGAAATTCACATACAGACACATAACCTCCAAAACTCAAAATGTTTTCGATTAGAAATATATTGGTACCAAACAACTCTTTGTGGAGTAAGGCACTTTGTTTTTGAAATGCATCTGACAAGACTTTCTAGATGTTCTACGATGGGCAAGTAAGAAAACCAGCGGTAGTACTCGAACTGCTAAGAAAAGTGGAATTAAAAAGCACCGAGGTTGGAAACGACAGGATGGTGAATGGGTCGAATCTGGCACCTTACTTGTCACACAACTAAGCTTAAGATTCCACCCCGGCTTAAATGTATGTTCCACTTTGTTCAACCGCCACTTACGTTCTCTTTTAGGTCGGGATGGGTCGCAATGGTACACTGTATGCGAAAATCCCCGGAACTGTCATAGTTAGTTGTGAAAAAACAGATCCGAATTGGGAACATACGTGGATCCAGAAAAATTATTCCGACAGAGAGCACACACAATTCTACAAGAAATATTACAACGTGGTACCGAAACCGCAACCTCAAAACTTTAAATTAATCGATCAAGTATAAAATTACGCATCAAACCAGTTTATTGTTACATAATTGATAGTATTGCTACACAAAGAAGCGAGTACAGCTTTTTTTTTTACCGACGTTCCTAATCTACCAAAAGCAATTAATTGGCTGAGATGCACATCTTTAGTGACATCTTGCACACAGCGAATTATATACACTGCGTGAAATGCAGTTGGATCGCCCCTATAAACTAAAAAATCCCCACCGAATTTTCGCCCGCATGTAATATAGTACCCTCTACTCCACAAATCTTCAAACACTGCCGCTTTAGTTAAAGTTGTTTCCTGTAGTATTTCGGCGAGAGGTGACAATGTTCTTGGCTCTTTAAATGAATCGGGAGCCTCCGTTAGCATCGGCCATATCATTGTGTCGACAGTAACAGTTTGTTTACTGAGCTCCTCTTCCAAGACGGTTTCATTTGAGACATGCACACCTTTCTTCTTTTTAGCCTCGACAATTTTGTCAATGATTTGTTTAAGGTCTTTTGTACGCTGTTTCTTGTAAATGCACTGCTCCGCTTCCAAAAGTTGCACCTTCGTGCTGTTATATTTATGGCAATCTGCCTGTGTGGGAGGCTTCTGCAGGTTGGGATAAACGGCAACTTTTATTATGTTCCTTTTAAGTAATAGTAAAGCTTCCTCTGGTAGCAAAGCAATCGGTAAGGCTAATAAAATTACGTTGTGAATGTGCAATTTTGTCCCTAATACCTAAACTTACACGGAGTCGCTTGCGAAGCACCCAAATGTGCGCCAATTATTCGATAGTTACGTCGTAAATTCTCCCAATCTAAAAATCTCCTAACTCACTGGGGTCTTTAAATATTCCTTACCTTTTCGAGAGTAAATGCAGACTTTATTATTAATGAGACACAACTCCATTACATAACCTTAAAACGACATGTGTGAAGCTAAACGATGCTACTATTTCGCCTATGGAAGCAACCTCTTACAAACCAGAATGCACGTAAACGTCGATAGTGCAACACGAGCGGGATGTGGAAAATTAATGGTAAGTTTCCAACCAAAAGCAAATCGGTATAATAAAAAGGTCATACAGAACTACCGACTGGACTTCTTTCGGTACTCTAAACGTTGGCACGGCTGCTCCGCAACCATAGTCCCCCATAATGGGTACGAGGTATGGGGAGCAATATGGGAGATTGATGTACAGCAATTATCCAGTCTGGATTTGTATGTGAGTGCTATATTTCAATTCCAAGTTAGTGATACCCTACATTTTAGCCAAGAAGGTGTCCATCAGAACATATACTTTCGTTTTAATGCCCCCATCTTTCTACCGGACGGAAGTACGAAGACGTGTTACGTCTATCAGCAAGTTGCGGAACCGAGCACCCATTACAAGCTGACCCAATTTCCGGCAGATCGGCAACCTTCTTATGTATACAAGGATGTTATTGTGAGAGGAGCGGCCGAGGCAAAACTCCCCGAGGTTTATCAAGAGCTACTGCGAGGAATACTGTGTAATGATTATAAGGGCAGTGTAGATTTGCAGCTTATTGAATAACTGCTTTCTTATTATTTTGATCAGTTATAAGGTCATCCAAGGTATTTTAGGCACTTGCAGAGATGTGTTGCACACTGACTCCCTCGGTACTGCGCAAACGCAAGCGCGCTTAAATTTGAATTTGATTTAACGCGCTCGAAATTAATAAAGCCTTCGGTCATCACTGAGAATTCCAGTTACATTATAGCCCCAAATTGAAAGCAACCGTCATGATCCTTTACAGCATAATATGGAATAAACAACAAGAATTGTAACGTTATTATTTATTATAATCAAATCAGATAAGGCACTATAAACTATTGTGCTCCATTTCTTCCTACCCGCGTTAACTTCTTAAGGCGCAGATAGAGTAGCAAGTTACTTGCGACAATCTCGCGGGAGAAACTTCCACATGTATTTACACTGTGAGCAATAAGTGTCGCGATAAACTGTTGGGCAAATTGGGCAGTGCCACGTTTTCGCCTAGGCACAGTAGGCATGAGCCTAGGGACCGTTGAAATTGGGGGCCTGCTATGTTGCATAAAGTGCAAAAAAGAAGATCGCACCAACAAAACACAAAATAACGTACAACACAAGTCTATTAAAGTCACGTGCACGTCGGAACAACAATTCTGTTTACTATTACCATTGTTTAAATACTTTAACAATGCTATTACTCACCCTCTACGCACGCGTCGAATTGTTGTGTCGTTTACACGTTCATGCATTTACACCAACCACATGCAAATTATCTGACCATCCAGATTTTACTCAAGCCAAATTTTCTGGGTTGTGCAAGTAAACAATTTTCGTTTTCATGCATCAATTTACTTGCACGAATTGGCATGCACAAATCAATTTGCGCAAATTGCATGAGCGTGAAAACGCACCTTTACACATTATACAACATACTTTATCATTAATATAATTGTGGGTGCATGGTGCACACAAGATAACACTCTCTATTAGTAGTTTAATAGTAAATTTTATTATATTATTTTCTATGGGAGTTTGTTAAGTTAAATGAATAAAATTGAAACCATAAGTAGGTACCTTTGTTTTTATGAGATATAAGTAGTACAAACCAGGGGGGTAAGGGGGCCCTACACTATTTGTGTGCCTAGGGCCCGAAAAAGGTTAGACGCGACCCTGAAGTCGCAAGTTCTCACAAAACTGTTTACACTTTTAGCTTCCGCAAATGCTGTCAGTTGATACCATGGTGTATTATACACCATGGTTGATACCTAGCAGTTGTTTTCGAGAACTTATCCCACGTTATAGTGCCAATAGCACATCTATGTGTTGCTGTGAATGTAGTTTTATGCAATAATGTGAAACACAAAAGAAGTGTTGGGTGAGAGATATGCATCTCAAGAAGAGAAATCAATCCCAACAATTTAAAAATTTTATTCGCATGTCAACGATAGACCTTCAGGAACTGTTATTACAAAATTAAAAAGCAGGATACTCATTTACGTGCCACAATATAATAAAACTAGCACGTTTACTCGCCAAAATATCGAAACGAAATGGAAAGTTTGCGAGAACTTGGTGAGCTGCACTTTTGCCTGTTTAGACTGGCAAGAAAAGTGTCGCAAGAATTCTTCCGCGAGTTCTGTCAAATGGACTCGCAATGCTATTTACACTGAAGACAGTATAGTGTCCGACAGTAAATCGCGCGATTTTTCTTTCTAGTCTAAAGGCGCCATTAGCTTCCTTCCATTCTATGCCTTAATCTTGAAGTATTCTTGCTACTTAGGTACATATCCCATGTTGCCTTTATGCTTTCCCTTTTCTTCCTATTTTGAATTCCGGTGTTCCATATATGTTTCGCAAGCAGACTATTTTCCATTCGTCCAAGGGGTCCAAATAAGCGCTTTAATTTTTGTCTATCAAAGGTATCTCTATCAGAGCATCCCCTTCTTTTTTTATCTTCTTACTAGGAATTCCACCAACTCCCCATACCCTTCGCAAGTACTTCATTTCTGTAGCATGTACCTAGTCTGGTTTTTTGTGATTCGTTCAGCACCCCAACTCGCTCTCTCTCTCTACCGTAGGTCAATATGGTGTGTAACGTTATTACTGTAAGTAGATTTCTATTTCTAATTAACTGTTACAGTACTTACCGAAATAGTTTCTTTCTATCGCCTTTGGCATATTCTAGTCTAGGAATTCCTCGAGGAATTCATAGCCATGTACTTGAAATGTAGATAACAACAAAATTCATCTTGATAACATGGCATTATCATATCCGTACTACACCTACTTACAATAGGTAAGCAGGTAAGCTAAATTATCTTCAATTATAACGTTTGCAGATTATGTGTATATTATTTACCCTTAGACTATGATTCTATCCTTCTCTAAGTATTTACCCCTTACACTTGACAGTTGTACAAATTCAAATTTTAGCGCGCTTGCGTTTGCGCAGTACCGAGGGAGTCATTGTGCAACACATCTGCAAGTTAGACAACACACAATACACAACAAGTATTAATACGTGAAATATGGAACTTTCCCTAAAACATGAGTAAAACTGTGCTTTAATTTGGTAGCTGGTAAAATTTTACGAGTGTTAAATCTAAACAATTCATGAGATAACTTGTAGGGTAATATCAGAAAACAGTGAGCATAGGCACAATGGGTAAGGTGCGACGACGACGTAGCAAATCCAGTACACCTTCCAATGATAAATGTGGACCTCAACCACCTTACACCTCCACTGACAATTCAAACATTGATAAAAAACTGTCAGATACTGCAAGTATCAAGTCGTTTAAATCAGAAATGGGTGGTCAAATAACGAAAAAAACCAAATTGAAGTTTCGCAGATCGATGTTGTTAAACAAAATGGACAATAAGGGGGTCGATAAAAATTCCACCAAATTTGTTCCCAACACTGGCAAAGTGGGGAAGGTTTTGCGTAAGAAGGGTACTGAAAAGGCGAGCGTACGGCAGAAGAAATTCCTCCAGGGTGTAAAGTTATTTAAGAGGATAATGGAGAATCGACAATTTAAAAAGAATCCTAAAAAGATGATCTCGAAACATATGGCATCAGTTGTTACAATAATAAAACCTTAACTGTAGTACTGTTAAATAAAGTTTATTTAAATAATTAGTAAGTCGCCTACATTAACGGTAGTCTAATTCTGCTTTGTTCCAATTCCAGTTTTAATGTGCTATCGTAATCATGAAGGTACTCTGTGTTATCTGTGCATTGCTGTATTTGAACTGCGCTTTAAACAGGACGAGCAGATGCAAGTATTTCGGCAGTCGTCAGTCCTAGAAATAATTATTGTTCTAGTTATCGGTTGGTGGGGTGTTGGCATTGTACGGTTTGAGAATGCAGTGTGTACGGCCGCAAATGGCCTTTTGGGCATCTGCTACACACGACGGCAATGTACAGCAATCGGAGGATACACATCTGGCAAATGTGCACGAAACGTTGGTGTTTGCTGTGTCGGTAGGTAATCTAATTCTTTCGGCATAATTTAAAATATGCTATTGCAGTTCAAAGATCATGTGGAGCGTTATCTTCCAATAACAACACATATTTCCAAAACCCTTCCTTCCCCAATGTCTTTTTAGGTGCAAATACCTGTTCGCTTACAGTCCAAAGGTGTAGTGCAGACGTGTGTCAAATTAGAATTGATTTCTTAAGCTTCTCGTTAGCGCAACCGAACGGAGATGGCATTTGTGCAAATGATGCCTTGATAATCTCGGGCGCGGCTGCGAATATTGGTCGAATTTGTGGAGAAAATACGGGGCAGCATATTTACTTGGACTTTAATAACGAAAATAATATCGACATTAACATCTTCACATCAAGTGCCATTTCGATAGGACGCCAGTGGAATTTACGAATTGCACAGATTGGATGCGATAGTCCCACTCGAGGTAGGACGAAACCTTAAAACTTCAAGTTACCTACAACTCATAATTTTGGACTAAAAGTTGCACTTGCACAGTTGAGAAAAATGAGTATGAAATAGTTATTTGTACAACTAGAGAAAAAGTGGATTTTTCAACTACTTTCGTCTCCAAAAATGACGCATACGTCTATTTTTTAATTTTGATTGTAGTTTCAGAAAAAAGGTATTGAATTCTCCATTCAAAAATACTTGATTTGAACATAGTTATCAGAATCACTGCATTAGTAGATTCAAGTCAAGGGCAAAATAGAAAGAGAATTAGTTTCACAATTAAAATGTAAGCGCATCCTTTGATTCAATTCATTTGTTGAGGGCCTAGAACAAGAGAGGGACAATAATAGAAAGAAGTGTAAATTGAGCATTTGTATTAAGACAGTTTCCATTACATCATTCCTGCGCCCATTCAATAAATTTAAGCTACATATAAATAACGCTTCGTTGACACCAAACAGCATTCTAGCGCTTAAAAGATTCTCAGTGTAAATCGAGACCCATCCCAAAGGATGTGGATTAAGTGGATAGATTGCTGCCAAGAAGCACATGGCGGTCAGGGTGTCATTTGCAATGCTCTGGCACCACCCTGCTCTCCTTAGCGCTACTCTTTGTATTGTAGGGTTTAAAATTTCGAGTTGTAACATAAATTTCGACTTTCCGTTGAAACTTTTCCATAAAATTAATGTTCTGTTTACGTTCTCGTATATCAGCTATGCCTGGATGTCTGATGTATTACGGAGGTACGTCGGGAACAGTGCGCAGTTTTAACTACGGCCAATCTGTTAACACATTTCCGCCTCCGAGTAATCCGCAGGCAGTCGGAGGAAGACAATTGGCCAATATGAATTATGGTATTTGCATTCGAGCGGCACCAGGAATGTGTTCAATACAGTGGAGCGCAACTTCGGGAGACCCCTTCGCTTTTACAGTCTCGCAGGATGCACAAGCACAAGTGACTTTAACTGGTACCGATTGTGCGACAGATTATATCATAATACCAAATGGTGTAACTACTGCGGGTAATGGGGAACAGCTACTGGCCGACAGATATTGCGGATCATTATTTCGGACTGTTACAAGTACGTTTATTACTCTGGCAGGGTGTGTGTAAAACATTTGCTTTTAGCTTCCTCCGTGCCTTTTGTACTGATTGCCGTTACAAATGGAAACGAAACACAAGACTCTGCGAATCGGGGATTTTCATTATCATACGCACAGCAACAATGCACAAATACTTTATTGTAATAAGTTTATAATTCAAACAAATTGACTGCCTTGGTGTTCGTTTACAACAGTTTTCATTCTGAAGTACCAACTTTTTATATTAGAATTATTTAAAGCATCTTGAAATGCGGCACAGCCTTCAATACTACTCAAAATACCATAAACCGCCAAATCGGCCAAATTAGGGTTTCCTCCGCCCATAAACGGTGTACCTTTCACTTTAACTTCCCTGGCAAAGTAATTACACTCATCATATAACGATATCCGCACGTTGTCCTTAAGATTGTGTCTCGCTTTAAGACGTTTTCCAATCATCCACATTGCAAATGCACCAACGTATATTATGAAATATCGCTCCCACGCTGGAAAGTGCTTGTCCCATTCGCCTACGTGGGAAAACCATGTAAACGACTGAACTGCTTCGTCTAAGGTGCGATAAACGTTGGGTGAAAGGGTGTGGACAAGAACATCGTCTGCCCATTTCCTCCACTTTCGTTCCTCACTAAAACGCACACTGAGACTTGCAAATTGGCAACTCTATTCACTTACTTAACTTCTTTCGTATTTAACCCCTTCAACTCCGGTTGGTCGTACATTAGAAAGTACCTATTCATGATTTCGTTTTTTGTTGTCCCATTTTCGTCAATAAATGAAATTTGAGGGTAAGATTTTGTAATGTCCTGCAGCTCTCGACCACGTTCCCTAATATACGATGAGAGGGCAGATACAATCATAGAGCTGTCTTGAAATATCTGCAATGCTTACTTGTAAGGCATAATAGTACGGAACCCCCTTACTTGATAGCCATTGTCGACTTGCGCTAGCAGAATAGGAACCTTCTTATAAGTCGACCATTTGACTGACTGTCTGAGTACGGGATCAACTTCGACGACATCGTAAGAAATTCCATGGTAATCTAGAAAGGCCCGTACTTTACAACAAAATGGACAAGTTTGGTACTGGTACAATGTAAGTTTGAGCCCACTTTGATCGTTGGCTACTTGAACCTACAAACTTGGGTTATAAAATCGTCTACAACTAACAAATATAACCTTGCGTGATACTGTAACGTCCGGGGCCTCTTCTAGTAATGGTAAGTTAGTCTCCCTATTGAGGATGTGTGCTCGAGGCTTATTTAGTTTGTAAATTGAGTAGCTTCCACCAATTATTGTCCCGATTCCTGCACCATAAAGACTTAACTTGATCACGTTTCTTAAGTTTACCGTAGAAACACCGGTCGTAACTGAGCGTTTATTACCAGCAATATTCAATAATTCCTTCGATCTACGAAAGAAAAAACCACTACCTCTCAGAGAAAAGTTCATCTTTGTTTGACAAGAGGTTATGTTTTCCGTACGATGCACAGGGTCACTTTTCGCATGCGCAGTGAATCTCAACGTGCACAAATACAGCGGTGTATAGGGTTGCCTAACCGCGTGGCGTACTATATAACCTAAAATAGACATGTAATTGTGGAAATTGTAAAGTACAATTTAGTGAAAGTATGTTGGTGGGTATAAAGTCGGGAAATTTAAAGAAATTATGCGCCGTTGAGCAATGGCTCAAGCTACAACGTCGATGGAAAATTGATGGTATGTACGTATTGGTTCATAGATAAAACTCACAGGTGGCGCTAGTATTAACAATCCGGTGGTTATCTTGCGAACTTTTTCAAACTTTTGAATTATAATTTTCGCGCGTAGATTACGTTTTTTTGGTAGTTTTTCGTAAAAAGAATTTAATGAACACATCAATAGTCTCAATTCAAGACCAGATACAGAATACTTTAGGAAGTTAGACCTGGTAACCCAATTTTAGTCATAAATTAGCTTTACGCAGCGTTCCAGAAACATCAGGATAACTAGATTGGATCTGGATACCACTTAGCTGGCTATGGAATGATTTCAAATCAAGAGGAAAAATATTGCAATATGCTTCAGAATGATCTTCAGTGCCTTCGAGAGACTTCTTGATCCTCTGGAAAGCATTAGAAAAAAGCAATCCGTAGTTGTTTTCCAGGGCTTTATAGTTTAAATTAAAGTGCGCGTAGTGTTTGTGATTGAAATAAATAATTTGCGTACGTTCGTAATAAATTCATTTCGTCGACAAATTTTATAGAGGAGGATTTCAGACTGCTAACGACTTATCAGTAGTATTTTTCTGTCACCACTAAAAATTTCATGAAAAATCTCTTATTAAAAAAAAACTTCCTTTGCCACTCGCTTACTAAGCTAATAATTAATAAATAATTATAAACACTTTCCAGAGTTCCAGAGCCATGAAAAGCTTTCAGAGTTTTTGTGACGCCTTTCTAGTGCTTTCCTTCTTAGACCTGTTTAGACCTACTTTTCATACCTTTTCCTTTCCCCTTCTAGCGTTATGGGCACTTTTAAGAGTTCTAGACCCTTCTTTGCCATTGGATCTTCATGCTCGGGAAGGTTTAAAACGGAAGCACATTTTTGTCAGCACCGCTAAGAACAGTTCCCCTTTCAATAACAAAATGCTTTGCTTTAAACTCTTCTCTGCTTGATGGGCATGTCTACTTATCGCGCTGCTTTAGGTGTCTGATATAAACAAGTTGCAAATCAGCATAATATATGCATGCGATGAAAATGGATTTTTGGTAATACAGATACTATGCGACCAAAAATGAGTGACCGTCGAGTCACCTTTGGAATTTTTGTTTACATGGGAAATCGTACTTAACTTGAACTTCCAAAGGCAACTCATTTTTGATCGCCCGTTAAGTATTTTATTAGCCAAGTTTAAAATTGGTGACTGAATTTGATTCCTAAGTAATAAACCGGTTCATAATGACACTCTGGATCAAATTTGGAATCACGGGGCAAGATGTACATTGCCCAGACATCGGCTTCTTAGGTACCTACATATTATTCTGACACAGGCATTAGCCCTGTATCGCAAAGTTAATGGAATATCTTGTGAATTTCAGAACTCTCCGCTGCGTATCTTCCGGAAATAGTTGAAAATGTTACTGACGCACATAACTACTTCGAACCACCACTTACAGCGTCCAAAGAGTTCACTTTGGTACTTCCTCCACCCAACATCACGGGAAATTTACACCTGGGCCACGCTTTAACTGTAACAATTGAGGACGTTCTCGTGCGATGGTATTTAAATAGACGCGTAAAGGTGCGGTTTCGTTTGGGCCGTCGACGGCCGCCTTTGACAAACTTGCACCTCGTTATTTACTATGGACGTGGTTTCCTTGGCGGCCGTCGCCGGCTCCAGCGAAACCGTAGTGTAGCAATTGTCGCTCACATGAATTTGTTCTTTGGTCATAAATACGCTTTTAGGAACAGAATGAGAGGTATTAAAACCGTTTGGGTGCCAGGTGTCGATCACGCCGGAATTGCAACGCAGGTCGTCGTTGAAAAACGACTATGGCAACAACAGAGGCAGACGCGACACGATTTGGGACGAGATTTATTTGTGAAAGAGATCTGGAAGTGGAAGGAGGAGAAGGCGAACGTTATAAGTTGGTATAACGAAAGAGGGATGAAAGGTATGATAGTCTCGGTTTAGGTCAGCAGTTGCGTGTCATGGGAGCGTCCTTAACGTGGCCGCTGGAGATGTTTTCAATGGATTTATCTCAATCCCGCGCGGTGAAGGAAGCATTCATCAGGCTATATGATGAAGGATTGATTTATCGTTCCGATTATCTCGTAAATTGGTCATGTTTTCTGCAGTCTGCGATTTCAGACATCGAAGTAGAGCATTTGGAGGTTTCCGGGCCTACAGAACTTGCGGTGCCTGGTCACGAAGTGCCAGTACAGTTCGGCGTCCTTACGAAATTCGCATATAAATTACTAGACGCTGGTAATCTTATTTTTTTATTCGAGTCTGTTGCCGTTAATTTATCGTATTAATGCACGCCCGAGATTTATCGCTATATAGTTGAGTGGAGATGGGCTTTTTACCGTTCAGATTTATTATGCGTGTACCCTTGTCAGGATTGAAATGGTTTTTTTGTGTCTTGTGTGCCTTTAAACCTTAAATGTTTCAGATGAAGAGGTGGTGGTCGCAACTACTCGTCCAGAAACAATGTTAGGAGATGTTGCGGTTGCCGTAAATCCTAGAGATAATCGATACTCCCATTTAATAGGACGTGAAGTGTGGCATCCTTTCAGGAGAGAGGCCCTTCCCATTATTTCTGACGAATTTGTCGATCCTGAATTTGGAACCGGTAGGTGGGGCGAATGAAACTCTTGGTAAACTTAAAACACTTCTTGACTAATTGCTGGCCGTACCTATTCAAAAAGTGACATGCAATTCCAGCGGGAATTAGTTATCTATAATTAAATTAAATTACTAAATGCGGTCTAATTAAGGTAACTATTCCGAGTTTATTAAAATAGTTCTTGCAAAATTTACCGACTGGGCTAAAATTTGAATTAAATGAACACCTCGCCTTATTATTAGATACGATTGTAGTAGGTAATTTCTCTATTCTCGCCGTTTATTGAGGTACTAAACAAACCCTTTGATTTGCGTGATTACTTATCACGATCATTCACTCGATCTTCAAGGAGATAAATTACAGGGGCCGTAAAAGTAACTCCCGCACATGACCCTGCCGATTTCGAAGTAGGAAAGCGTCACGGGTTAAACAGACTACAAATAATCGACGAGAAGGGCAATTTAAATGACGCCGCCGGCGATTTCTCGGGGTTGTCCAGATTTCGCGCCAGAAGTATTATTGTGGAGGAATTAGAGAGATTGAAGCTATTACGAGGTCGTCAAGATCATCGAATGGTCGTGCCCATATGCGGTCGCTCAAGGGATGTAGTAGAATTTTTAATTAAACCACAGTGGTTCGTTAAATCAAAATCGATGGCATCTAAAGCGCGCGACGCCGTCATGGAAGGCAAATTAAAGATTGATCCGCCTGAGTTTGAGGAGAGATGGTGTAATTGGCACGACAATATTCGGTAATTTCGGAAAGAGCTCAAATTTTTGCAAGTATGTAAATTCTTAGGGATTGGTGCGTGTCGAGGCAGCTATGGTGGGGACATCGTATCCCCATGTATTTTTGCCGAGTTAACCAGGAAAATGGAAGGGAATGTTGGGTAGCCGCAGAAGACGACGTATGTGCTCGCCGGAAGGCCTCCGCTCAGCTTTTGTCAAATCCCAACGATATCATCATAGTGCAGGACGAAGATGTTTTAGATACGTGGTTCTCATCTGCACTTTTCCCATTTTCAGCCTTCGGATGGCCAGAATCGGTTAGAACACATTCGTATGAATCCAATTTCATTTGCGTTTTTCAGAGTGGAAAGTTGAGTCATTATCCCCTAAGCATAATGGAAACGGGCCACGATATCCTATTTTTTTGGGTGTCCAGAATGGTAATGCTTGGACTTCAGTTAACGGGACAGCTGCCCTTCGCAAAAATACTTTTGCATGGAATTATTTGCGACGCTTACGGCAGGAAAATGTCCAAAAGTCTCGGAAACGTTATAACGCCAGAAAATGTCATTTTGGGATCTACTCTAAAGGTGATGCATTGCTTTTCTCGAGCTTGCTACTCGTTAATATTTACTGAGATCGGATCGAATTTTTATAGGAGCTCGAAAATTCACTGCAAGCCAGTCGGGCGGCGGGCGTCTTATCAAACGAGGAATTTTTACGTGCAGTCGAAGGCCAAAGGAAAATGTTTCCTACAGGAATTCCGGCGTGCGGCGTTGATGCATTGCGATTTACTCTTTGTTCGCACGACATAAAAAGTAAGAGACGCTATATTATTATAGTAGCTATGTTAGGGCGTTTAAAATTTGATAATGTTGGGAAATTTAGATCTACTTGTGCCTATACAATTTCATGTTTTGATGATAGATTTATGAGATATATTATAGGTAGTTATTTGTACGACTAGAGAAGGAAGTGAAGTTTTTCAACTCGAGTTCAAAGCGTTTTACACATAATTTTTACTGAAACTACAATCAAAATTGAAAAATTACCGTATGCAATAATGAAGTTTGACAATTTTAAATGTCAACATTAAGATTAACGCAGCAATTGTTTTTTACTTTCCTTACTAGAGCGGAAAATCACATTTTCTTCGCCCTTTTTAGGGACGAAAGTAGCTGTTTCTGAAGTAGTTTCAGAAAAATATTATTACTCTTGGAAGCTTTTTAAAATAGACTTTGTTCCTGAACAGTTCATTGTAGTAGTAATGAATATCATCTTTACCATTTTTGATATTTAATGCTAGGCCAAAGTTTGGTGGCCAACAATAGTAATTACAAAAGCAATAGTAGGGGGTATTTTTAATATAAGATTCTCAAAGTGTATTCTAGATTCTGAAGGGTTTGGAAAAAGGAAACCTGCATCTGACTATAAATTTTTTGTTTTAGACCACTTCATTAATTTTGACATCAACGAATGCAACACAAATCGGTTGTTTTGCAACAAAATTTGGCAAGCAGCAAAATTTACGACGAAATATATTGAGAAAGCGGGCATTCCCAGTGATATACCAATCAACTTATCCATTATGGATAGGTGGATTTTGAGCAGATTATCCAAAATGGTGGAAAACGTCAATCGAGCTATCGATAAATGTGAACTTCATCTGGCCACCACTTCGATAAAGAATTTCCTGTACTACGATTTCTGCGACATTTACTTGGTAAGTGTAACTGCGCCTGTTTACTTAATCTCGTCAAGGTAAAGAGGTTCGGAACGCGTTTTGTAAACAAAAGAAAATTTATTAATCATCCGATTTGTGTACACTTGGGAATTCATTAATATAATAAGGCCATCAGTTTAGCGCATTTAAATCTCATTTAGGTAATTATCGACCCATTAGGCAAAATTTCCCCGCAATTAAGCATAAAGTAAAACTTTTAGTGGTCAAATAAGCCAGCCAGTTCTCCAAAATGAAGTTGACGCTATTTGTGATCCTTACGATATTCGTATTTTGTTACGGTGAAAATTTCGGTAAGTTTAAATAGGCGCATTGTTATATATGTAATTGATTTGATGCGAATGCGTATTAGTGTGTAGGGAGGGTGTTAGTTACCTCGCCAACGATTGCAGCGATTGCGTTTGTGCGCCTAACGGAAATTTTGGTTGCACTTTGAAAGCTTGGTAAGTACTTAGTCGTCATAATTGGTGAATGTACTATTAATCCGTTTTTAGTGTCGTTCCAGGGGAAAAACAGAAAAAGTACGATTGTAAGGAGGGAAGCACTTTCATGAAGGAATGTAATAAATGTTGGTGTGTCAAAAACGGCGGATTGATTTGCGAAAATGAAGACTGTAAATAATTAATTTGGTGTATTGTATCGGCTTACAAATGCTGCATGTATTAAATCTTGTCATTAAAATTTCTGCATTCTTCGCCTCAAATATTTAAGCAAATAATTTTTTTACGATATACACGGTGTCCATTTTCCGAGTGCCACTATGGAGATCTCACTTATAAATGGGAGCAAAGTTGCAAATTTCCGTGCTGAATAAGAATCTGAAAAGAAATTTGAAATATCTTCAATAGTTTTGAAGATATCGCAAAAAAACGAACATTTCTGATTTTCGTTTTTCTTTTTTTTATGATAAACTAATAGTAGTAGACATTTCTAATTAACACATTATTCGGATACTTTTTAATGGGGATTTCAAATATGGCATTCTGTTTTTAATAACTTTCAAGATGACGGAGAAACACGTGGCAACTTTAGTTTTTCTTATGGGCGCCATATTGAATTTTGACATTTTGGGATAACGTCTTTTTTTCTCTTTACAATGATATATATCACACACAGTGGTTCAGTATCACATTTTTCCTAAAAATACAATTTTTAATTTTTTGAGAAGAGTGCTTTGGAAAAAACAAAATGTTCTTTTGTTGTAAACAAACGTTTGACAGTTTAATGCATCTGTCTGGTTGCAGCGTTGTCAGAGAAGTAGAAATTCGATTTTCATCTGAACAGAATTGAACCTTCGTTTTGCAAGAAAATTATAATTAAAATTAGAAAATACATCACAACATGTGTTCAAATTGCCCACCTCCTAATTCTGCGCACAGTGCCACTCTCTTCCTAAGATTTGCTATGGCTCTTGACACATCCCTTCTTCTAATCTTGTGCCTGAGAGTGCTCACAATTCTATGACGAAGTTCATCATGGTCGGCTGGCAATGTTTTGGGCTGCAACTTCTTTTTAGGAGACAGATGGATTGTTTTATTGCACCTAATTAACAATGATTAAATGATGAATGGATCAGTAGTTGTAATTATGTAAAATTTTTACCGCTTGCAAAATTGCCTACTCATATTCATTGGGTCTATCGCCATATTGCTGTCTACATCTTTTAAAAGAACCATATTCGCCCAAGTTTTTATGCAGCAAAGAAAAATACCTCAAACTAGGTTGTTGCCGCTCTGGATAACGCTGCAAGTATGTTGCAGCAGCCATATGTGGGCATTTCGATGAGAAGTGTAGTAAATTTGCATCATATCTCTTTGATCTGCACTTGAAAAAGGCATTTTCGTAATACAACTAGCATAAACCTAAATGACAATACATGAAATAAGTCAACCTTTTGTTCACAACAAAAGAACGTTTTGTTTTTCCAAAGCACTCTTCTCAAAAAATTAAAAATTGTATTTTTAGGAAAAATGTGATACTGAACCACTATGTGTGATATATCGTTGTAAAGAGAAAAAAAGACGCAATCTCGAAATGTGAAAATTCAAAATGGCGCCCATAAGAAAAACTAAAGTTGCCACGTGTTTTTCAGTCATCTTGACAATTATTAAAAACAGGATGTCATATTTGAAATCTCCATTACAAAGGTCCGAATAATGTGTTAATTAGAAATGGATACTACGATTAGTTTATTATAAAAAAATTAAAAACGAAAATCCGACATTTTCGTTTTTTTGCGATATATCCAAAACTATTACAGATATTTCAAATTTCTCTTCAGATTCTTATTCCGCACGAAAATTGGCAACTTTGCCCTCATTTAACCAAGTTTCTATCTCTTAAGATAAGTGTGATCCCCATAGTGGCACTCGAAAAATGGACACCGTGTACACCCTGCAGATTTAAATTTACGTTATCAAGGTTTTAAGAGGCGATCAGTTACAATAATCATTTTAGTATTCCCTCAATTCTACATATTAAAATCTGTCTTTAGTGCGTTTTCGAAAAAAAGTAGCGCTTATACATTCACTTTGACTGTTCGGTCGGTCGGGCCATCGGCTGCAAAGGTTTTTTTAATTATACCCATAACTGTGGAAAGCATCATCAGAGAGTTCCGTGGTTGCTGGACTGGACTACTAATCATATATGCATTATTTGTGTTGTATAGCAAATTACATTAAACAACTTACCCGGAAGTGATATCGGAAATTTGAATATGCCATCGGATAGAATGTGATGTCGCGTACATACCTACATGTATAATCATTTTTTCGAATCTCACCAAATAAATGAGATATTGAGATGACTTCCTTATCAGGAACACACTGCATGCTATACAGAAATTTTATTTTATATTTAAATAGCGTGAATGGTGGTGGTGTAAGCTATGAGAAAATTTGAAAAAGGTACTTATATTAGGGCTAGAATAGTGAGGAAATGGAGGACATGCATACAGTTTCTTGAGAGTGTTTTAATTAAGTATAGCAAAGTATGTCTTGTTTTCCAGCCAAACTTCTCTTTCATTTTTTCATACAATTGTTCCCAGTGATTTTATAAATTGTGATAATTAAAAGAGAAATGGGAGAATTCCAAACGTAGGGGTCCGTAAACATTACCTCCTCTTGTGGGTACGCAGTAATTATTTCAATAGGGAAATCGATATGTTTACTTTACGAGCAAGTTTTGGAACTAATTGCTATTACACTTGCAATAAGAAATGAATTTTCCAAAATTGGAAAGAAGAACAGTATCGATTTTCTCTTCCATTCGTTAAGAAAAACAGAAAGTTGAAGAGAACTGTAGCTCTATTTTTATTTCCGACTTCACAATAGAGTCATTTAAACTTCCCACGTTTTGAATTACCTTTTAGTAGGTCATACCTAAGCGTGGGAGCCTACATGTTTTATTAGAAGTTGTAAATGTGTGTTAAGGAATCTCTATCATTTAGGAGAGTACCAAGCGCGGTTTGAAGGCTGTCGATAGCGAAATCGCCTCAGGCCATCTGTCAACTCTTCGGTTTTGCTTGGACGTCGGATTACGAACTCTCGCCCCTTTTATGCCGTATCTATCCCAGCGTTTACATCGGCATTTATCTGTCCATTCCAACTCGCCCGTGGTAGTCGATTTTCCGCAGGTTAGTCTAGGGGCGTTTTTTCCCGTTTTGATAAGTATAACGTTATAGAGTGTCGCGTGGCGAAACGACGACTTAGAAGAGGAAGTTCGAGCGGTTTTAGATAGCGTCGTCGCAATAAGAAGATTGAAAAAATTATTCGGAGTATCTAAGAAGCACAAGCCGGAAGGTAAAAGATGCGTTCGTTTCTAATAATCACAAACGTTTGATTTACAGTGCGCGTAGTCAGCAGAATTGCGATTTACAAAGAGCTCACGGAGGTTGTTGCGGATTTGGCTGCTTGTGATAAAGTCGCAGTAGCATCGAGGGAAGTGGTTGATACTAAAGAGACGGCGTACGATACAATAGGATCGCACACCACCATACATTTACTTTTACCCCCCGATATTAGCAAAACTCTCGAGATGGATTTAAAGAGACTCGAACAAAAAAAGGAGAAAGTTTCAGTCGAAGTGGAGAAAATGCGAAGAATGATGTCGGCCGAAAGTTATCGCATTAATGCGGCAGCAAAAGTTCAACAAACACACGCAAAAAAGGTCTTTCCAAATTTATTCCTGTTTCCATTATACTGTTATTTTTCCTTACAGATTCAGATGCTCGAAGACGAATTGAGTAGGATAGCAACTCTACAAAAATATAGTTCTTTGTAAAACTGCAAATAAAAATAAATTTGGTCTATTTTTTCTCGATTCGTTAGTATTATGGAGTGGATACGCTAGGGGGTGCTAAACTACAAATCGATTTGTTGCGGAAATTGAAAGGTTTACATTTTATTACGAATCTTTTATCACTCAAAGTGCCTTTCAGAACACTCTCGATTTAACTGAAACCAATCCCAAAGAAAAATGTATTTCGTTTGTTATTATATGGGTTAAGCTCGAATTTGTTCATAAAAACGAAGCTTCTGCAAAATAAATTGGCAAATTCTGATGGTTCTTAAAGAATTGACGGTTAGTAAAAAAATGTTCAGTGCCTATATGGGGCATGCTGTTATTAATTTAGCAAGGCAGAATGTTACGCTTGAATTTCAAGACGAATTTACTAATATTGTAGGTAGGTACCAAATTTCACTAATTCCACAAAATTAGTTGAAGTACATGCCATTTGGAGGTTGAATTAAGTTAATTAGTAGATTTGTAATTTGGTAAAAATTCGACGATATCTGCTTTTTTTAAATAATAGCGTGACGTAGCACCTGTTCTTGTCGAAAGACCAGTTTGCGGGAATTTTATGCTACTGGCTAATGGCTACATTTTACTTTCGATTTTGAACGGTCGAATCGTTCGGAATTATTAATAGTGCGGCTTCGTTTCTTACATATGCTCACACATGGGAAATGGGAATTCATAAGTGCACAACTATCATTGACCTTTCTAATATTTTAAAACTCCTCTATCACCTACTTACCGCACCTCCTAATAAGTAATGAATGACATCCATTTTTTAATGAAAGAGTGGTCAGGTTGAATTTTACGACCATCACAAAATTTAAATTTGTTGTTCCTTAGGACATCCATATAATTTTGAAATATGTTCATTTGAAGATTTCAGGTTTTTGACTTTTAAAAGTCCAGTGCCTTAAACTACTAAGTAATTTACTCTACATAAACAAATGCGAATCTTAATGGATGTTTCTGTATACGTCTTTATATCTCTTTTTGTAAAGAGAAAAAGTCTTTTAAAAAACTTAACTCATGAGCCGTTAAAATCTTTGGAAAGTTGAACGCAGGATGGATCGTTAAAAATCGGATTTCCCTAACGTGCGGTAAGTTTGAATTCTGGAAAGGAGACTTGTTCAGTTAACCTCCACCGCTTCCTCACGAAACAACTAATTGTGTAATGGTTTTTCCATTAATGGTCTGGGACACATAAAAGTTTAACAAAAACGCGGTTTATGTGCGATTAGGTTACGAAAGTTCTTAAGTGTAACGCAAAGATGTTGCGGGTAAACTAATCTACGATGAAGAAATGAACGCTAATTCCATTGTGCGTGCATTTCCGATGTGAATTGTCCTTTTCTCGTTGAATTATTACGTTCTGTAAGTATCGTGCAGTTTTACCGGTTTTGAATGACCTTTCTTCATTGCCATTTTTGATACCTCGCAGGTTTGATGTGCCGATTTTAATGTCGAAGTTATTGACTATGATGTTCAACTTGGGAGATGTCAAGGTATCGTACGATGGAAAAACAAAAAGATTCTTTAACGAGGTACCTAGTTGTTACCTACAATTTGTGACCTTAAACGTCATGTGTGTTAGGTTTTGGATTACTTCTTGCGCTTCCCTCGTATGGGTAACCGGCCTTCGCAAAAATGATATCATTAGTTAACATTCCCAACATAATTACAAACCACAAAGTCGTGATTCCTTCGTAAATCAAGCCGCACATAACTCAATTTTGACGATATCGAAATTACAATAATAACTAGTGAATCAATGTCACTTAAAAAGAGATTAATTCGTACGGCGTCGCTGTTAAAAATAGATCGAAGGGCATAAACGAAATGAAAAGAGCAAAAACCTCACGCACTTACTTATTTTTCTTTTTTAAACTTCCACTCTTCCAGCTGCAACGTTGTGCTTCCATACATTAGTCAGTCCGTGGCTCGAACTTTAAATCGCGATGATGTTGCTACCATCGCTCCTATGCGTTCTCTTCATTCTAACTGCTGTTGAATCCCAAAAGGCAGAAGGGGGAAGACCAAAAGCGAGGCAGGCACCCCAATCACCACCCTCAACGGTAAAACGCACGTTTTTTTTCCAAAACTCTTGACAGAAAATAACTGCCTTCAACAGTCAGACCAACGGATGGGATCGAGTACAACTCGACAGACTACCGGCGATGTCGACCAGCAATTGTCGCGGTTCGAGGTCATGTTGGTTGAAAAAGTAGACAATGTTCGAATGGACTTACGCGGTTTTTCGCGAAAACTCCAGGAGTTAGAATGGAAATATAGCGAATATGAGAAAACTTTGGAAACCTATCAGGGAGATGTTAGTCGAATACATGAGCAGATTTCCACCCCATCGACCCAACCCCAACCGCCGCCTCCACAGGAACCTCCGTCGTCGGGTTCTTCGTCACAACTCGAAGCGCGCGTCGAGAATTTAGCGAAAGGAGTACAAATTTTGATCGCCGCAACAAGAGGATTCACTTCCGATGTCTTCGGGCTGAAGAAGAACGTTTCACTTCTGTTAAACGATACTAGGTGAGTACTTAAGTGACAGACAATGGTTTATCTAAGGGCCTTGTTCCTACAAAGCTGCGCAACAGTGACACGATTTCGACATGCCGCAAGTAGGTAGTAGCTTTCAAATAAAAACAATGATCAAAGATAACAAAAGGTTAACATACCGGGTGGTGCACGGTAAGTAGGAACAATGGGAAATTAGTTTTATGAAATATCCTGCTCTACTGTACATTTTACAGAAAAAACTGTAGAGTTTAAAGTTGTTCAGAATTAAAACGTGCATACAACACTGTTTTTATATGTTTTATTAAGCTTTTGGTATACCCGCAAATTTAAAAATAAATTTCAACATTTCTGTTATTAATAGCAATTCATAAAACAACAAAAATCATGGCTATGTAACAGTTTAGCATCCAAATGTACCTATTATCACAGATCTAAACACTCATTTTATACCTCCAAACGCGCCTATTTTATTAATAATAATTAAAATAAGATGGGAGTGAATTTTCGTGACAAGAATCCTTTATTTATACCAGCCCAAACTGTATATAAATTTGGAAATTGAGTAGGAAACTATAAATTTCTAAAAGTTAATTGCCTGTTATTTTTACCCTTAAAAATCATCTACTCGGAAACCTATTCTTTAGCAAATATTTAACCGAATTTGTCTACTCTAGATCGGTTCTTGCGTTCGCGCCTCAACTAGCCACAAAACAGAATCTCAACAGTGGTCTTCTCGAAGTCCAGCAGCGCCAAGTTCAGTCATGGTCCCTAAATACCTGTCCAAAAAGCGATACCGCTACCAGTAACCTTCCGCGAAATTGTCGCGAGGTCTTCGCGGTCGGTCAGCGGAAATCGGGCATTTACCGTATCCATCCCGATCCTTCGTCAAAACCATTTATGGTAGTCTGCGACCAGGAAACTCGGGGAGGAGGTTGGACAGTTATTCACAACCGTTACGACGGTTCTCATGATTTTTACCAAAACTGGCACGAATACAAGCACGGCTTCGGTAATTTGGGCGGAGAGTTTTGGCTGGGCCTGGATTACATACATCAACTCACTGGTAAGTTTAATGGCTGCCATTTTTACACCAACTGAAGTCAATTTTAGGCTCGGACGTAAGCGAACTTTTAGTCGAATTGCAAGATTTGGACATGGCAAGCAAGAGCGCTTATTATTCGGCCTTCAGTGTTGGACCTGAAACGGAAGGCTTTCCGTTGAAGGTGTTGGGAGGATACAGCGGTGACGCCGGTGATTCTCTACTATACCATGCAGGAAGTAAATTTAGCGCGAAGGATATGGACCAAGACGGCTGGCCGGAAGGAAGTTGCGCTCAGGCTCACGGTAAGTTAATACCCCATTCCGGGAGATAGTATAATCATATTTTAGGCGGGGCATGGTGGTATAGAAGCTGCGATATGAGTAACCTAAACGGAAGGTACCTCAGCGGCCAACTTCCCGAACAGTACATCTACCAAGGAATGTATTGGGCCGATTTTAGAGGAGCCCAGTACAGCCTTAATCGTGCCAGAATGTTAGTGAGACCTAGGGAACAAATTAATAGTTCGCTGGTAGACGAAATTTTTAATAGAAGTAACGCGATGCCCACATTTGTAAGGGGTCGTGTCTGAAAGTCCTCCAAGTAGATCTTTTCTAAATGCGCTTCTATTCTTCAGTGCAAGTGCCGTTAATCGATTGTCCCACAGAGACATTAAGTACAAACTGTTAATTGATTTCACTACAACTTGTAAAGGATATGTGAACAATAAAGTCTCTTAATTCTAGTGATCTAGTGCGTCAGCCCTAGGCTTCACCATTGGTTTAATATTTTTTAAACATATAAAACAAAATAATACAAAGCGAGTCACGGAAAACGGAGTTTTTAAGAACGCATAGACTGCTTGTGTAACGCTTAGGTAAGTGGGGTTAGTGGAATTCAACCCCTTTTAGCCCTACCTTTCGGCTCGGCTCAGGTGTAGGTAGATTTCTATAAAAGTGTCCGCCATTTTGTTCGAATATGGCAGAATTAGCTGATTCGCGAACTTGACCAAGATATTTGAGTTACACCAACCCTTAAATTTTGGTCGAAATCGGTTCATAGTTACGAAATATACCTATCTAAACCTATAAATATACTGGTACCATTACAATAGGTAGACGAAATCTACCTAAAATCTCCTGTGCCTATAGAACATGCTGTTATTAATTTAGCAAGGAAGAATATTACGCTTGATTTTCAAGACGAATTTACGAATACTGTAGGTGGGTACCAAATTTCATACAGTAGTTGGCTGATTCTACTAATTCCACAAAATTAGTTGAAGAACAAAAGACATTTTAGGGTTGATTAAGTGAATTAGTAGATATGTAATTAATTCGACGATGTCTGCTTTTCTTATTTTTAATAATAGCGTGACGCAGAACTCAGAAGTAACATAAATCTGCATTTGTTGTTGTCGAAAGACCAGTTTAGCTATTTACTTTCGATTTTGACCGGTCGAATCAGTACGAAATAACAGTGCGTCTTCTTCTTATACACATGCTCACATTGTCTATATCTAAAGAAGAATTCATACGTGCACAACTATCATTGACCTTTCGTTGTTTCCTAATATCTTAAAACTCCTCATTTACTTCGCACCTCCTATAAGTAATGACCATTTTTTAATGAAAAAGTGTGGGAGTGGTCAGGTTTAATTTTACGACCTTCACAAAATTTAATCAGTGGCTCATTTATTTGGAGCAAAAACATACTTTTGTAAGAATCTACTCTATATTTGGTAAACTGGTTTATAATGTAATGATTGGTCGTTTTCATCTGACTGGAAAATGTTCTTAATAGCTTGATCCGTTGGTCCTCAGGACATCCATGTAATTTTGGAATATGGAGAAGACATCTACGATGGTACTAGTCAGTTGTAAATTCCAGTCCGGTACCTCTAACTACTAATTTACCTCCTCTACAGAAACAAATGCGAATCTTAGTAGATGTTTCTGTAAGGTTGTACATTGTACGTCTTTATAGTTTTTTTGCGACGATAGAAAAAGTCTTTTTAAAAAACTTAACTCTTGAGCCGCTAAATTATGGAATTTCGAAAATCACGGTAAAAAATTATCAGAATAGATCGTCAAAAATCGGGTTTCCCTAACGTGCGGTAAGTTGGAATTCCGGAAAAGAGACTATATTCAGTTAACCTCCAGTGCTTCCTCACTAAACAACTATAGTTTCGTAATGGTTTTTCCGTCAATAGTCTGGGGTACAAAAAAGTTTAATAAAAACGCGTAGTAATCGGTTAATGTGCGATTAGGTTACGAAAGTTCTATGAGTGTAACGCAATGATGTTGCGGGTAAACTAATCTACGATGAAGAAATGAACGCGAATTCCATTGTGCGGTGCATTTCCGATGGTGAACGTCTTTGAAATTGTCCTTTCTCATTGAATTATTACGTTCTGTAAGTATCGTGCAGTTTTACCGGTTTTGAATGACCTTTCTTCATTGCCATTTTTGATACTTCGGAGGTTTGATGTGTCGATTTTCATGATAAAAATTACTTTATTACAATCGAAGTTATTGACCAGGATGTTCAACTTTTTGTGGCCTTAAGCGTCATGTGTGTTAGGTTGTGGTGTACCTACTTCTTGCGTTTCCCTTGTATGTTAACCGTCCTTCGCAAAAATGATATCACTAGTTAACATTCCCAACATACTTAATTACAAATACCACAAAGCTCTATCATCGCTTTAAACCAGTAAATCGTGCTACATAACTCAATTTTGAGTACATCGAAATTAAAATAATAACTACTGAATCAACGTCACTTAAAAAGAGATTAATTCGTACGGCGTCGCTGTTAAAAATAGATCGAAGGCGTCAGCCTATGGCATTAACGAAATGAAAAGAGCAAAAACCTCACTTATTTTTCTTTTTTAAACTTCCACTCTTCCAGCTGCAACCTTGTGTTCTTCATACAACATTGGTCAGTTTGTGGCTCGAACTTTAAATCGCGATGATGTTGCTGCCATCGCTCCTATGCGTTCTCTTCATTCTAACTGCTGTTGAATCGCAAATGGCCGACAGTGGAAGACCAACTCGACAGAATACCGGCGACGTCGCCTATCGATTATCGCGTCTCGAGGTCATCTTGGTTGAAAAATTGGACAACATTAGAAACGACCTGCGCGACTTTTCGAATCGGATCCAGGAATTAGAATTGAAATTTAGCGACTCTCAGGCTGTTTTTGAAGGCTTTCGAGGGGATCTTAATCGAATATATCAGCAGATTTCCACCCCATCGACCCAGACGCAGCCACCACCTCCGCGGGAACCTCCGTCGTCGGGTACTTCGTCCCAACTCGAACCGCGCGTCGAGAATTTGGCCAAAGGAGTACAAATTTTGATCGCCGCAACAAGAGCGTTAACTTCCGATGTCTTCGGGCTGAAGAAGAACGTTTCACTTTTGTTGAACGATACTAGGTGAGTAAAAGTCTTTGGTAAAAGTGACACAATTGTTTATATCTAAATGTTACTTCATCAACATTGTGTAATTTAGTTAATTAGTAAGTATAGTTCAAATGCTATCTGGAATTATTAACGATTACAAGTTCCCTCAGCTGACGATGACGTACTCGCATATGTTTAAAGTGAAAGGTTCGTCTGACTGTTAAAATTATTCATTGTAGGCCAAATTCATTGTCCCATGATCTTCTTTGGGGTCTTCTTTTGTACAACAGTCACACAGATGTACATATGCATTTACACGCTTTCATCAAATTTAGTTTGCAAAGGAGATTGATATAATCGGGTACATTCTAACTCACGTTACATAATATAATTACACCGAACAGATACGTAAATCGATTAATTATATTTTCGTAGATTTTAAAGTCTAATTTTTTCTGTAACTGATGGCTCAGATCATTGATTAGGTCAAAGAACCGGTCATAAAGTAATCGATTAATCAACAGAAATTCAACGCATTTCTCATCCAAAGGCTACAGCGTTAAAAACTAATTCTCATAGACACTCAACCCAAAATATACTAGGTGCCAAATTTTTGATAGAACAGCAGCTGCCTAGCTCAAACCAGATATATTTTTAAAAAAAGTTTTTGATATGCGTAATGCCCAAAATGTTTACGTAATGAACATCACGTACCGAGGGGTACCTATAAGGTGCAAGCAATAATAGACTTCTCTGCCGTGGTATACCTATGTAGGTATTATTTTTTTCACTACTAGTAGAAGTCCTCTAAATTAACAGATTAGGTATATTGTTAAGAAAGTGAAGGGTTTGGCAGACTCTTCTGTTAATTTTACATCTCAATCAAAATGCATGGAAGTAACAATCAAGCAGGCTGTATTTTTTTCTCTCGTTGATATATCTTCAAAGAATATTTCGTTTGAATCTTTTCAAAATGTGACAGTTTTAATAAGTATGTAATTTCTCTGGAAATGCAGGAAGATTGCAATTATTCATTTAGAGAATCTCTCTAAACGTTTATTGCGCGAAATTTCGTGCTGTGTTCTCTAAATGTCATTATTGACTACTAGTTAATAATGATCTCATTATTAACCACTTTGGACAACTGTCGAGAAAGTCAACTTTATAAGTGAAAAAAAGGTTAATAATCATGTATCATAGGCTATAGTAGGTAGTGAAAAAAAAAATTGTTTCTACCTAGAAACAACTATTTTCGTCTCTAAAAAGGGTGAAGAAAATGTCATTTTCCCTAGTGAGGACAATAAAAAACAATTGCCGCGTTAATCTTAATAATGCCATTTAAAATTCTAGAGGGCTATGTGTCAAACTTCATTATTGCATATACGATAATTTTTCAGTATTGATTGTAGGTTCAGAAAAAAAAATGTGTAAAACTTGAGAAGAAAGTGGAATTTTTCAACTCGAGTTCAAAGTTTGTACAAATAACTATTTGTTCAAACGTCAATAGAACATGACAATTCCAAACTCATTTCATGACATAAGAGATTGACATTTTAGACGTTGCGTACGTTGGCAGAAGCGTATAAAAAGGTTAACTGTTGCTGGTCTAAAGGGTGGCGCATCGATAGGTAGCGAATATGAGCGCTATGCTATTTTAAAATATCTAATAGTCAATTTTCGAAAAAACGTTTAAACACGTAAACAATGTTGTTCCCTCATCTCACCTCACACTTTAGAAAGTAAAATATTTCATTGGGTTTCGACGATCATTATTCATTGAAACCAAGGTCGATTTCGGCAGATTTTGTTTAAATACTTATGACAGTACAGTACGCGTAATCAAAATTGATTCTTTTCTTGAAACTTTAACGGCCTGTACCCATTTCAACAGTTAAGACGTTCTGGACATACTTTTGATTGTGTCTAACGAATGTTTTCATTCTAATAGATGACGTGTAAATTCAAATAGAAACAATGATCAAAGACAATAAAAGGTTAACATATTATGTAACAGTTTATTATCCAAATGTAGGTATATGTATACATATGCGCGTATATTATTAATAATAATTAAAATAAATGGGAGTGAATTTTCGTGACAAGAATCCTTTATTTCTATCAGCCTTGACTGTATCTAAATTTGAAAATTACGTATGAAACTATAAACTGGTAAAATTTAATTGCCTGTTATCTTTTTTCACCCTTAAAAATCATCTACTCTGAAACCTATTATTTCGCAAATATTGAACCGAATTTGTCTACTCTAGATCGTTCCTTGTGCTCACTCCTCAACTAGTCACGAAACAGTTTCTCAACAACGGTCTTCTCGAACTCAAGCAACGCCAAGTTCAGTTGTTGTCTGAAAATACCTGTCCAAAAAGCGACACCGCTAGCAGTACCCTTCCGAGAAATTGTCGCGAGGTCTTCGCGGCGGGTCAGCGGAAATCGGGCATTTACCGTATCCATCCCGATCCTTCGTCAAAACCATTTATGGTAGTCTGCGACCAGGAAACTCGGGGAGGCGGTTGGACCGTTATTCACAACCGTTACGACGGTTCTCAAGATTTTTACCAAAATTGGCAAGAATACAAGCACGGCTTCGGTAATTTGGGCGGAGAGTTCTGGCTGGGCCTGGATTACATACATCAACTCACTGGTAAGTTTAATGGCTGATGACATTTTTAAACCAACTGAAGTCAATTTCAGGCTCGGACGTAAGCGAACTTCTAGTCGAATTGCAAGATTTAGATATGGCAAGCAAGAGCGCTTATTATTCGGCCTTCAGTGTTGGACCTGAAACGGAAGGCTTTCCGTTGAAGGTGTTGGGAGGATACAGCGGTGACGCCGGTGATTCTCTACTATACCATGCAGGAAGTAGATTTAGCGCGAAGGATATGGACCAAGACGGCTGGCCGGAAGGAAGTTGCGCTCAGGCTCACGGTCAGTTAATATGTACCACATTCCGGGAGATAGTATAATCATATTTTAGGCGGGGCATGGTGGTATAGAAGCTGCGATATGAGTAACCTAAACGGAAGGTACCTCAGCGGCCAACTTCCCGAACAGTACATCTACCAAGGAATGTATTGGGCCGATTTTAGAGGAGCCCAGTACAGCCTTAATCGTGCCAGAATGTTAGTGAGACCTAGGGAACAAATTAATAGTTCGCTGGTAGACGAAATTTTTAATAGAAGTAACGTGATGCCCGCATTTGTAAGGGGTCGTGTCTGAAAGTCCTCCATGTAGATCTTTTCGAAATACGCTTCTATTGTTCAGTGCAAGTGCCATTAATCGATTGTCCCGCAGAGACATTAAGTACAAACTGTTAATTGATTTCACTAAACTAATATTGTAAAGGATATGTGAACAATAAAGTCTCTTCATTCATAACTTATAAACTACACAAATCAGAAACTAACACTTAACAGTATTTATAAAAATTGAACATGTGATCTAACTTGGTGAAATAACCAAGAGGGGATTAGACGAATTTTTGGAACCGAGGGTTCACCATTAAAACAGGAAATAAATTTCATCAATGGATAGCTAGGGCGAGCCAGGGGAAATAGAGAGTTTGTTTAAGACGAGTGTCGAAAGGTGCGGGATTATCGGACCATTTGATTTTGCTAATCATAAGCGTGCACATAAAAGCTCTGAAAACCGTTCAAATTCAAAGTTCTTGCTGTCGAACGGAGCATAAATGACGGAAGAAGCGAAAAAGGACTACAATGAATTAGTAATTTAAAGCTGTTAACTTTTTGTATGGTGTTGAGTTGCCAAATTGATTACCTCGTTTATCTTTGGCGGTTGCAGAGTCGGGCGCTAATAAATTGTCTGTGTTCCTAATGATGCAAATTACGGTAAAAACATGCGGATGCCGCCGTACACTTTGTGGAAAATGTGGAACACGTACCCTGTCGGTTTTTATTAAACAGTAGATTGTTACAAGTTCTTTCGAACGGTGAGAGATAAACGCAACTTTCACTGCAAGTTTGGTGCACTTTAGTTTGTGTTGCAGTCGAATATGTGTTGTCAACCTTTGTTTGTCGCCTAGTATAGGTTCCACTTCGTGTTCCTACAAGCATATTATGACATCTTAGTTGTTATTTGCACAACTTCAACAGTACAGTAACTATTGCTTATAGTACGATCTATACATTCCAATTCAACTAATGTAATTTTGCGAAGATCAATCCATGTGCCATACTTATACCAATGAGTTTATTTGAGGCATAACACCTTTGCAGCAAAAAGATTCAAGTATGACAAATCAAAAAATATCTCAAAAGAACGAGAATAATTGCCTTAATGCACTGAACGAGTCTATTAAGAGTGTATAATTGAATGTTCGCATCATGAAAAAGACCCAATTAAAAATTTAAATTAATAAAAGCTTGAGAATGTTGGAATAGTCGGTGTATATAAAGCAGACCGAATGTGAAACCTATTTGACCGCTTTTTAATTTCAATAATTTATAGCAAAACGTATAAGTTGTCTCGGATGACACAAAAATGAAAAAGGTGCAGATTTCTACAACGAACGTTTATCAATGCAGAATCGGGATGAAAATTCGTTAATTGCCCACATTTAAAGGCTTGGCTTTCCGATCATTTCCAATTCCCAAACGGCAAAACCTCACCTCATACAAACTTGATCAGATTTCGCTCACCCTAAAATTTCGTTTTCTCCTCAAGTTCGGGGGTTGCTTTAAATAATTTACGGTCGATTCTCTACACGGCCAGTATACAGATGTTTCGAAACACTCCATACTGACGGAGAAAAGGTTTCTCTAGCGTGGAAAAAATTATTTTTATTTTATAGAAAACCTAATCCCCTTTAAAAGTTAAAAGAATTACTTAGACATCGTTTAACGCTTTACCTTTATAAGGGGTCAATAAAAACTCAAATAAAAGCGTGTTCGTGCTTTCTTTTTCCTAGTTTCCTTAAAAGCTTTCCTGATCAACCTTCGATGTTGTTGAGGCGTTTTTCTTTCTTATTTTTCAAACTATCTCGATGGAAAAGTTTCAAATACCACTCCGACGCAAACCACACGAATATAAAATATTTATCCTGTTCAATCTCGACTTCTTTTTAACACAATATCTATACTATTAATTCGGTTTCGCCAATTGGCCACGGTGGGTTCGAGATCGCTTATTTTTCGGATTTAAATGTTGCAACAAGCAATTTTATTTTCAGAATAACTATAGCAATTCCTAGAGAATTGGCTAGAATGAAATTATACAAAGACCGCGCTGTAATATTTTCGAGTGGGAACGTGGAAATAAGTTACACGATTCCGATTGGATTACAATCAATTCAGTGTACTAATGACTGTAATACTAAAGAACAAATTTTATTTAAAATTCCACTCTAATTTAGGCAATCGTTTCAGTTTAAAAGACTCAATTATCGTACTATCGAATCTAAAAGCACCTTTTAGAGTCACAATTGAATTAGTTCTCTTGCGCGGTGATTTTCCAAATGTTTCTGGTCGGTCTGTTTAAATTCTACGATAAACATTAAATTCTACAGTACGTAGTGGTAAAGTGCAATGTGTAATGAAACACGAATCTTAAAACAACAGGCACGTAACCGTGTTTCATCGAATTTTGAGGTCTTGTCCCCTAAGCTAATAAGGCATTCTTGTGATATAAATTTTAATGGAAGCCATCCGTCGTTTTGCATTTTACGTTGTACACGAACGCTATATTCCCTGCGGTTGGAGTTGACAATAAACATCTACGTTCCCCTATTCAAATACATCTGTACAACTTGTTGGCCTTAAATTGATTTTGTGATTAAATTAGACATCGCCGAACCATACGAATTGATGGAATCGAAATAGGGAGTTTCTGGAGAATAGTATGATGGGGTAAAAAATGTTAGTTGTTGTGGTGCAGTGAAAGGGTTGCGTCGACGAGCATGCGTTAGATAAAGCGAGCGCCACGACGCCCGTCAGTTTGGTGGTTTAATCCGATGGTCGCGGATAGTTCGTGAGAAGCGCTAGATTGTATTCGACCCGACGTGTGATGCATCAATGATGAAACTGTTTAACTAACGATACAGATTTAAAGGTGAGTCTGGATTATTTACATCATCACAAATACTATTGCAATAAATAATCCATTCTGACAAGCAAATAAGTTATCGCAGCTCCTAGTTTCAGATCTCCAGCGGTCTTGTCGGTTCGCGTCAATTTATTGCTATACCCGGAAAGTTTGTTTAAAGGTCAACAAAATCAACAAGTGCATAAACTGACAGTGCTAATTGTTAATTATTGCGAAGACCGATTTTTAACGAATAACTTATAGGTGGCAATAAAGTTACGAAAGTCCTTTAATATTACTATGCAAATATAGTTATAATGCGTTTAGTTACTAGAACTCATCGAAGTAATTAATGTTGCGGAAATTACTTCACAATCTTATCGGCGCACGCCAAAAATGTATATTTCGTGATAACAATGCAGTAGAATTTTCTAACGAGGTCGTAAACTAAATCGATAGATTATTTGTGTTGGGGTTGCATGTTCACTAGAACGAACGGGAAGGTAATTGCATTTTATTCCACTTAATGGCGATTACATTACCTCAGTGTTACAATGCAATTCGAAATATACCTACCCTCATCGTATGGTCCGATTTTCGCGTTTCCTTTCGTTCACTTATTTAATATCTGCCAATTTGGATAGCGAGCTGATATTGGGAAATTCAAATCCCGTTTGTTTTCAAGCAAAACATTTATCCATACGGTTTCCATGTAATGATCTACAAAATGCCAAAGTCTTGTTATATATATTAGTAAGGGATGTATTTCCACGTCTAAAAAGAAAGTTCGAGTCCCAGATTCTTTGCTGTTTCAGGTTCAGTATACTATGTAGGTGATTTGGGCAATTTTATTTCATATCGTTTAACCTATTTATTATTCTTTTTCTGTTTCTATATTGGTTCGTTCCATTGTACTATTTCTTGTTACGGACGAATTGCGAAATAACCGATTATCCGAAACCGGAGATAGCGTACTTATTGACAATTAATAGAGTATACTTGACCAATACGTTTGAAATTGACGCATTGGATTTAGGTATTTGGTTAAAACCATCACGTGTCTGAATGGCGGATGTACAAACCAGGATCAGTAATTACAAATTTCAACAGGATAAAACCTTCTAACAAGCCTTCCTACTTTTGCTTCGCTTTCCTTTAGGTGGACATTCTACTATTGATGCTTTCTAATGATCTGATTCTATCTAATAAGTGCTTTTAATGTGAACGATCTTATCGAGTAAAAAATGTGTAGAAGGTTGTATTCAATTTGAACAAAATCGAAGCACTCACGTCTAAGTTTGGTTAAAATATTGATTTACGGTTAAAGATTCGAAGTAAGTTGACATGAATGATTTATGAATTATGCATAGAGGCTCATAAAAAAACGTTTTAGCACCAACCATTGAATTATCGAATAACATACAACCCCCTAACGTGTGCCTGTGCGTGCTAAAATATTCATGGTTAGGTTATGCTATATTTAGACAAGTGCGGGGGATGTTTTTATCGAACAAAAATTTGAAAATTTCTCAAAGTTTGAGAACTCTCAATTAGATGTTTTGTCATTCTGCGTTAACCAGTCTCCTGGTAGGTACATTAAGTAGACGCCGGAATGGCGACGATACTTTTCTTTCTTTAAAACGCGAACGTTTCACCAGCGTTTTGAATTTATTAGGTCATAACGTCAGGCGATATTTATTCAAGCGTTACTAAGAATAAAACGTCGGTAATAAAATAATGTGAATCACTTTTTGGTCTTTTTTCAAAGACCGCCATAAAGATATTTTATTGTACCGAAAAATGTTTGGTATGCCAATGTATACAGTGTATTCACACAGAGTGCCCATTATGTATGGAATATAGTATATTATATCTCGGTAAATATCGACTGTATACAAAATTGTTGTTTAACATTTTATTTCCTATAATAAGCAATAAAATAAATAGCAATGCCCTGCGCACCTCTTCATTATTTGATAGAGATTTTTTTTCTCTTGTCAATGGCGTAACACGTTAGCACCCGTGTAGAAGAAATTAACTTTTATTTCAAGCTGTTTGTGATAGGTTATGCCACTGCGTTGTAGTTAATGGTGAAGATTTTGAACATTCATTGAGATGAAATCCATTTTATTGGTAATTTCGTTTTGTGTTCAAGGTTTAATATGGAACATACACGTTCATTTGTTTTATTTTGATGTAGGATATCTGGATTAATGTTATTGATCTAATTATAATAAATTTTTTTGAAACATTTTCTTGAATAAGAGTACCTACTAACATGTTATATCATCGAAAAGAGAAAAAATATCTCTATCAAATGAGCCTAATGAAGAGGTGCACTGCCATTAAAAAAATTCAATTGTTTTTGGTTACTCATTTGTTTTCTGAAATAAAACAACTGAATTTTATAAACCTCTCGCCAGGAAAGATTGCCGGTCACAGAACACCTGTTCCCGGGTCTTTTCCGGCACGATACTATTCCGGAAGTGGCTCACATCTAGATTGTAGATCGACATAAGGTGTGCTGTAACCGGCAATTTTTCCTGATGCGTAGAAAAATGTTGTATGAATTGCTCTGTATATTCAAATAGTAAGTCTATACCCTTAATCATCTGCCCGCTTAGTGGAAACACTACGCAATTATCTTTACAACAACACAGTATTCTATTGCCACTCAGGTACATGGTTTCAATTTTAAAATGGAAATAATTTTTCCCTCCTTTTCACCCCTATAATAACGGTGCATATACAAGCGAGGGTTGGGTGGAATACATGCTTCATAAAGTAATGCAGTCTTATTGCTATGATCGAGCATTCAAATATTGTGGTCTCTGCACAGAAACGAAAAGGACTTAAAGAAACATGTAATTCTGTTAGCTGACCTCTAGTCTCGCCTCTAGTAGAGTTTACCGTAAAAATTTAAAATTAAGGGTGTAATACAAAGGAAAAATTTACCGCTGAAAAATTCTCTATAAAAACGAGGTTGGTATAGTAAAACTTCGCTATGATTCCGAAAACTTATATTAATAAGCAATAAGTTTGGAAATTATACTTCAATGTTCAACTTTTCGCAGTAGGTACTTTCTGGCAAAACGAAAACTAAAAAATTTAAAGAACGCCCCGAGATGTAGTTATTGCAAATTAATGGATAGGATATAAAGTTTATTTACACAGCGGAATTGTTTCTTCGTTCCTATTTACTGTATTACTGAGCTTCGCTCCTCTCAAAGAGAAGTTTTTGTATGTTATGTAAGTTCATTTAATTAAAAGTAGGAAATGGGAAAACTTTCAAGACTGTGTTAGAATCGTAAGAGTGTCAATTTGAACGTAGCATAAACGCTGCTAATTGTACATAACTTTTCTTTAATTTAGTCGAACAATGCAACAAACCCTATAGCCACGGTTCGACCCAGAAGGTAACGTGGTACAAACATTACTAACAGTGTAGATTTGCGATGCGGCTTGTAACTGTTTGTTACAATAAGGAGTTAATCGTGCTAATTACAACGAACTTTTCTACTGCAAAAGCGATTATTTCCAAGGATATGATTTGACTGACACAACGGATCGTTCTAATAGTTATTTATGTATTAAGGGCATAATAGTGATGTTTATATTCTCGAGGGCCTATGGCCCGAGAGCTTTTTAGTCGCCCGAGAGTATAAACAATTAAACATCAGTTTATGCCCGTGGTACATACACAATTTTATGTTTTACAAACAGTTTTCTTCGTCAAAATTCATTTACAAAATAATTCATTATGTTTGATCGAGTATGCGAGGTTCGAATTTGTTAATGTGATTGAAAGATTGAAACCATCCAAACGTCAAACGTAATTTTAAATAATTCAATTTATCGTGAATGAGCAAGAAGTTCCAGAAACTATACAAAATAAGGCCAATCTTGTGATTTAGTAGGTATTGACAATTAATAATTGACGTTTCTAATTTTCAATGACTTGCAAATATTTGTTTGTTTTGTCATTAAGTATAAATGAGTTCCTATGGTGATACTTAATGCCCTAGAGCATAAAGTGGTACTATATCACAGATATAAAATGTGCTATGATAGGTTAGTAAGACATAAAATGATTTCTACTGCTATCTAATTAAAAAATTACAGTATATCTCTGGACATCATGATATTGTTATATATAGTACAAATGTGTATGGCCTTTAGAGGTGTTTTATCTTCGAAATGAATAATAGATAACGGAACCTGAATCTTCGGGAGGGCTCGTCTGCCATTTTCAGGATTCTTTTGTAGATCGACGCTCCTGGTTCCGGACATTGAACCGTCTACGTTTACTGCCTGCCCTCAACTTTCGCTTTCACAATACAATTTATTAACAACTTATTCCAAATTCGAACTGCAATTGATTTAAATTATTCCGGGCAACTTGAACTTTCAAAACGTAGGTAAAGTTATTATCGGAGACGTTCACTTGTAATTTTTCGAGGGTTCTAAATAGGACGTTGACGTCTAGTGATGTCTAAAGGGCTATACTTCCAAATACCTATCACTTAAACTGAGCTACTCTAACGAACATGAAAAAAACTGCATCAAGGGCTCCCGTTACACGTTGACTGGCAAGGTATCTTAAAAAAGGCAAAAGCAATATATTCCATTTTGTTATTCGTAAAGCAAGTACTTTCACAGCAAACTTGTATAAATGAAACTTACGTGTAAAACACATAGATACGGTCACCAAGAATGTGTACCTATTTTTAAAGTGGTTTATAACATTCATATCGAAACAACGGAGTTTGTCGTTGCGTTGATAATATTATTAATAGGTGAAATTACATGAAATAATTAATAGCACAAGAAAGTACACTTCCATACTATTGATGTAACGGAAATGAGCAATTTGTGTAAAAAAGAAGTGAAGTGATAGAAAGAAAGAAGAATAAATCAACACAAGAAAGTAATGAAGTGGAGAAGTCTGCTTCCAAGGTTTTGTTGGAACTTAGGTTGCCACAGTAATAAATACCAAAAGTATTTTCTATCATGTGATAAAATTTTAG